ACTACTACTCTGGACAGAAATTTATGCAGGGCGACAGTAAGAATATAATATTATATTTTTTGTTATAAGTTTTAAATACGTAGGTAACAATCATAGAGCACTGTCTTTTACTCTAAAGTGAGCATAGAGAACAAAGAATACTTCTACCCTAGTGATAGAGAAACTTATAGAGAAATGTAAAGAAAGTTAAAGTCAAACTTAGACTATTTTTTCCTTAGACTAATTTTTTCGATACTTTGAAGTCAAAGCATTTATTGCTTCTGATCTTAAAATTTAAATAATACCAATATGACCCTGTTAAATGTTAAAAAGTATAATAAAATTAAAATAAACTTTTAGAACATTTATTTATATCATATTTTTTTGAACTTAACTAATAAAACTAATAAAATTTAAAAACTAGATTGTAATAAAAGTTATAGAATAAAATATATAAGATAGGTATTATATTAATTAGTTATTCAAAAAACTCTTGTAGACTGTAATAACATTCTTTTAACAAAATTTGCACTAAGGTGTTTAGTGAATAAATTATTATGTGATTGGCATTGACTTACGTGATTGGGATGAAATTTTTTTTTTATTTGAATGAAATTCTTTGGGTATTCTATTGAAGATTTTAATTGCCATTACGAATTATCCTGTGCTGCATATTTTTAATTTCGAGGTACGTACACAGATATCGTTGATTTCGAGCTAGGTATAGTGCCAGTCTATCTTTATGGCTGAGGTTTGACCTTAGAGAATGGAAAAAAATAAGGTTTCACTGAGTCTAGGTGTCTTTTGAAGTGAAGGAATATTTGATTTGTTTTTGCTAAAATGTTTAATGACGGTACAGTTAGAATATTTAATTAAACGTGGTCAACATTTACCAATATTCTTATACATTTCTTTTGTAGAGCGCATCTGTGCTATTTTCCCACAGAATTACACCATAGATCAGCCAAGCATGAGCATGCAAGCATAGTAAGCAGCTGTTTCCATTCTTATGTCGCTGTTGGTTTTTTCAGTTGTAGCAATGCATAACTAAACATACTGCCGTCCAGTATTTAAAACGTGGCTAAGTGACAAATGGTCAAATATTCGTTTTAGATAACAAAAGATACAAAATTCTCTTTTAAAAACAGTTCAAATTAGTTAATGTGTTCGACTTATCGGAATTTATGCTATAATTTATTTATTATATATTTATTATAATTTATTTATTATTTATGAAACATCATTATTCAAAAACTGGGTAAAAAAAACCATATTTTTTATAATACTGCGTTTTAGGTAGTGGACTCCAGTATACTGAGTTTGTCTGAGATATTATTAATGCGTTGTTTCCAATTTCTATTTGTGTCAATTGTTATTTACAAGTAGGTTAAAAGTATTCACTATTATGCAGTGGAGTTTTTTGCGGTCCAAAATGTATTAGCTTTGTTTTTGTATATTACATTGTGATCCTTGAGCCAGCTGTTTACATTACTTAATATATTATTAATATTAATATTTAAATCTTTTCCATCTGCACATGAAAAAACCACTGTCAGGTCATACGCAATTAAAATGCTTGTTGAGTTTAGTGCTTTGGGTAGATCATTAATGTTGGGGAGCCCGAGGCTGATAGTTCCCGGGGTAAGTTGTTCTCACAGCAATAACTTTGCAAGGAAAATATGTAGCAATACATGTGAAGCGCGTCGTTAAAGCGTCAGGTGATGCATCTTGTCGGCAGCCATTTCAGTTACTCCGGCGACGACGTGTGGCTATGTGCGTGGAGCTGTCAAAATATCACGTGAGCAAATTTTGTTTAAATTTTTTGGTCTGTCTTTGTTTATTATAGGCCGATTCATACGTAACTTTTCTAAATTGTAGTGACATTAGTAAGAAATCTTATTGCTTGAGTATTTTTTTTATTGATTTCATTACTTTGCCGGTATATCAGTCTTCGTATAAAAACGTAGTTTGGGGCTATAAGTTCCTCCCTCGAGGGGCTGGTTGTTCCTAGGAACAACTTCCCCCAATAGACCCGCAATCATACTTAAAATGTTTATAACCTTTTTTCTTTGTTTTCAGGATACCAAACTACAAACGGGCTCATGTCATGTTTGTCTGAACTGTGATTCAGATGAAGAAATGAGCGATGAATAATATTACTGATGAATAAGAATGTGGTTGTTTTTTTAAGTTAGTTGTGCATAATATAAACATTACATACATACAATTATAAAATAGGTGGTTTTATTTAAGAAAATCTTTGTTATTCTGTCATAATCTAGGCGGAACAATTTGCCTCAAAGGCGGAACAACGCGCCCCAAAGCGGGGCTGAATGTTCCGCACCGAAATTTGTCAAAAATTAGCCTCTATGAAAAAGACTATTGAGATATTAGTAGAAGTAACTATACTATTACAAAAAGCGATAAACATTTGTTCAACATTTCCACATGTTGAAAATCAAATCCTTCGTTTTCAGTACAAAACTGCAAGTTATTTGAAATTCGGAACGTTCAGCCCCGCTCTCCCTATAGGGAACCTATTGGGAACAATAGGAATCCAATTACGCTTCTGTGTGGTATGGACGGGGATGGTTTCTAGAAACATGATGGAACTCAATAATTGTCACTCATTTCCCGTCGGAGCAACAGACAAAGTGTGTCCTACGTGAGTGCGAATGCCGATAACGCGAATGACGATACAAGCGCCTATCCGCCACCTGATCAACAAACCCTCAATTATAGTCAGCAACTGAAATGAGATGTTGATGCGTGTCAAGCGCAATAAGAATACACGTAAAGTACGGTGTCATTATGATCGAATGAGTATCCGTGCCGTAGAGGGAACGATCCGTGCTGTCCTCTATTCGTCCGCTATTTCCTGTAAACTAAGACTGTTGCTTCGACTGCATGCAGTCGAGACTTCAGCTGAAAGCATCGCATGCAGTCGATGTGAATGATACTCTGAGAAGCAGCAGCAGCAACTAATATTCTTAAGAAGATAATAATGTTTTTTGTGCCTGAAACAACTTGATTTTTCAATAACGGCAAAAGGTAACGTTACTAGAGAGAACACGTAGCCGGTTTCGGCTGCATACAGTGATATTGTATATAGGTATTATCTTCGCTCATGCAGTCCATCTGGTAGCAGTCAAACACTGTATCTGTAACATAGGCTGTATAAAAATCTTTTTTAGACGTGGCAATGCTATCTAGTGCTAAATGGACGATATTTTTTATCTTCTATGTATAAAACTTTGTGTTGTGATATTTTTGGTGGTTTTATTATCTCTGTCTCTGGCTATACCCACAAGTTACAAATGAGTAGTGGTGTGAATTAAAGAAAACACCAAATACACCAAATAAAGGAACTCCCAATAAACGATGACTATGACTGAGTAGATAGGCGTTATACCTGTGTAAAATCCCTTTCCGACAATGATTAAATATGAGGGTATATTTTGAGGCTCATAAACAAACTATTGCAAGTTTTATCTTTGATACGGACGTAATAAAAATGTCGAAAAATTCTATTAGTGTGAGTTTAAGCGCTCAGAAGCACGACGAGAAAGTTTTCGCGCGGCGCCCGCCCACTTACCACGCTTTCACTTACATTAATGGCGAATCTGAATTCTATTTACTAGATAACAACATTAAAATTCCTCGGAATAATAAAACCGCGCGGCCGCTGCGTAGACCAAAGACAAGCCAGTCTCGCCCATTTGCCAGAACGCTCATCTAAGTTAAAACGTAAAAGCTAAGGACATAAGCGTATTTTGCCATTACAGTTACATGCACGCGGTCGCTGCGCGGCGGCCACACGGTCTCCGCGCGGCAGCTGTGCGGCTTGAGCACGATGAAATTCGTGTCGAATAAACACGCCCTAAGGTGTAGTAGTTACTACGAATAGAAAACGTCATAAAAAAATATTATTAAAAAATAGTTCTAACTTTTGCCTATCGGCTTTTTTTGATTTCCATATGTTTCCATGGCATCCACAAGTCAATGCATCCACTCATTGACTTACAATTATACATCCACTCATTGACTTACAATTATATGGACGTCGGGTCCGCGCTAAAAAGTGTCCGCACTTGTAAGGCGCTAAAATCGTATACAGAGCGCGACAGTCTTCATTTGTTCTACTGACAGCGCGATACTGCGATGACATTACAATTTAAATTTCGAATAGGTTGACTTGGGACATTTTTTTCGTGGTTTTTGTATTAGACCCGTCGTCCATTTATTTGTAAGTCAATGCATCCACTCATCAGATTCTGACTTCTTGGTGACAATGGGACTGTTACGGACTCCTTTGCTCATTTATTTGATTTTCTGGTTGTCATGGTGACGGTGATTTGTTGATTACACGTATTGTGTCAAGTGAAAAGTCGACTTTTATTTGCGGAAATTAATTAGTAATTTGTGATAGCCGAAACGAACCCAGAACAGCATCAAGGTCCACCACGAGAGTGCACCCTCTCAAACAAAAAAAGAATTTTCAAAACTTGATGGAGATATCAGAAAACTTACATAAAATCATAGATTTAGTATACCTATATACTAAATCTATGCATAAAACATATTCATACTGCCGAACGTATAACCTCCTCCTTTATTTAAGTCGGTTAAAAAAATAATATTGCCGACCACTCTTTTAAGGAAGAAAAAAGACTATTTTAATTTTGGGTTTTTACTAGTGTTTCCATAGAGATGTGAGTGTGTGTATGGCCTTTCGTTTCGTTTTTACCGTGGGTTTTTACCCAGTTTTTACCGCTTAACAAAAGTATTCCAAACATTGTTGGCAACTCCAGCAATTTTTTTTTCTTCTGGCAACACGCTGTGTCAATTTATTTGTCATTCTCTCGTCGTTTTGCAGTATTGTATTTCTTTTTTCTGAATTAAGACTTTTGCATGATTTCGTTCGTTTTTTATGTTAAACAAGACGTTGAGTAATAATAAAATCGTCATAGCTTCTGTATTGTGTTGCACGGAAAGTTTTGAATGATGCATCTTTGTGTGCTTGGTGACATAATTCCGGAGTGATATCTACTGCGTATCATGTACCTACAGCTTGTGGTTTCGAGCAGGCTGCTGCATCTATTTTCGACTTGAGGATCATCTTGCCGTACGTTTAAATCATTATCGTTATTCTGTTATTGGTGCTTGTACTATCACGCTATGAAAAGAATCTCACCCATAATGTCAAGTTTACCATCGTGTCCTTGCTTGTGTTTATGAAATTGATTAACATATTCATTGATAGAATTGCAGTGTCAGTGAGGTAGGAAGTGGTCGTTATGTTGACTGGCTTTCGTATATGGAACAATTTTAACCTAACCTAAACTAAGTCATGTAAACAATGGCAGTCATCTTCATGGGGGTGCTATTGGTATGTAGGGTGGTATGGTAGGGTTTTGTTATTTGGGCCATGAATAAATTGGTTTAAGTAATTAAAAAGGTAGTGAAATGAAATGTCTGTTGTAGTGGTAGTCTCTATACTGTACCACAATTATTACATTCTCTATTGACAACATAACATTATTTTTGTTAAATATATACAATGAAAATGCTTATCATTTGATTTTATCCAGTTATGCACCTCGACTACGATTTGAGATGCCCGACACGTTTGGCAATGTCTCAAGCGGCCTCTGTCAGACGATGTTGTCTGAATTTTCTCGCACTTCTACCATTGTTTCTATTTAATAAAGATGCTATGTCAAAGTGAAAGTATACATGGTATAATGATAATAAAGTTGAATATTTTGTACTTTTTCTTATAATTATTCATATAGACAGTAATATCATTTGGTACTTGGTGCAACAGGCTGGTTTCCGCAACTCGACGACAAAGCGCCTATTTTGCGTGTGGTCTGTAGTAATATCATATAAAGTTTTAGTTTTGACATTTTAACAATTCATCCTTAAATGTCACTAATTACTTAATTACATTTTCATGTTATTAACTAGTTTAGCAGTTAGACTAATCATTGTGAAATAATTTGTTACCTTAATGTCTATGATAGTCTGATTAAGGAAAACCAAAACCCTGCCATGTTACATGTTAAAATTGGTTTCATTTATAACACATATTCAGAGCACACTGTATCATGTTGTTTCAGGTGAAATTAATATTGAATAAATTTCTATAAATTAAATGTCTCAAGACTTGTAATATATCAATGCCTTACTTTCTCAAACTCATGTTGTATAAAGAGTGATTATTTAGGAGATGGCAAAACTTTCTATTTATTTTAAATTTATTATCAAGAGCTTTAATTTGGATGCATTACTTTAAGAATACATAAAAACCAGTGTGTAAATATGAAGGAAATGCGATGTGAAATCAGGCAGCAAAATTTGTATACAATTCATTTTTTGCATTTCAATAACTTTGTGTTAAAGGTTAGAGTTTGAGGAAGTAAGGTGACAAAAATAATTATTCAATTTTACGTAAGATTTAAAAATATAAATTATTAAAAATACATTAATAAAAAAATAAATATACATTAATACAACATTGCCATAATTAATTATCATGATTAGCGATGTATATTTACGTAAACTTCAAGTGATACCCTTAGAGTGGGTAACACCTCTCTCTGAAATCTTGGAATGATTAAAAAATAAAAGAATTGAAGGCAAAAATTTGAAACAAAATAGTTATATTTTTAATTACAATTACGAAACTTGTTTTCCCAAATACACTATCATAGTAATGTAATTGAACAAAATATGGTAGAAGATTTTCTGCATTCATAGTTGGGTGATATGCACTCTTTGTGTGGTCTTACTTCCTTGAAGTTTGCTCATTCTTAGGTCTGTTCTGCTCTTGTTATAATGTTTTATCTCTTTATTAATAATAGCTTTAGCATAATAGCTCATTCATATCATAATCAACTGATTGTCAACAATCTCATTAACTTGAAATTGGAACATGATACCCGCTAGGCTGCCACAAATGATTATTATTTATATCCATTATACAACACTTATTACTACTAAGAACTGAACAACAAACATTGCTGATAAAAACAAAAACTGATAGTAACACTATATCAAATATTTGTGTCTTTATTTTGCACTCAACTTTGTTCTGTGTGTGTTTTTGTTTTTTGTGTAAGTTGTGTTTCTGCTGACATTATAAATACTAAATCAAATTTTTACGTTTGTATTGTCAGTACTCGAAAACGATGCGATTTCCTGATATTATCTTCTTAGCACTTATGGACAACGTAATAAACTTTGTAGGGAGGTGAAACGACATGTAACAAAAACAATGTCTTTCTTCTTCCTCTAGAATGACATATATATATAAAGTATAACCAGGAACCAATTGTATTGTCTTTGTAGCAGTACTCATAGTATAATTAAATAGTATGTTTTTCCAAACAAATTTTGCATGTAGTGAAATATTTTGTGGTCAGCAACTTTCACTCTTATAAAAACTTCAATGTTGTGCAATGAATATGAAACAATGTTTACGGATCTAAACCTCATGTTTCATGAAACAAAGCAATGCTTCTCTTATATCCAATTTAAGTCACAATTGTCACACTTAGCCACATCCTGTACTAGTCCATACTTTTTACATAATTTACTATATATATGATTCATTTTGTAACTACAAAACGTAAAACAAACTGTTAGGTTTAGGGTTGTTTAGTTGTTGTAATTTGCGAAATTTAATATCTGCAGTAGACCAGATCTTGAAAATTAGTCTAATTTTAAATAACGATTTATGCAGATGGTGGAATAGATGGCGCTGTCTACGATGAGCTGGCTGAGGAACACCTCACTGACGTTGACGCGGCAGCTGTCGCGGTCGCTCGACCCACGCCACGACTATGAGCCCCACGCCTGCTACAGCTCTTTCTGCAAACACTGGCAGCAGGCGCATGATATCATTCTCAAGTCACAGGTACTCATACTCATATTTAGAGACAACCACCCTTCTATGCATTTTCCTAGTTGCATTTTTTCATAATATCAAGTGACACGCCTGCCCGTAACAGTTCCAGTGCCAGTCAGAATTTGGAGGCACTGTCACTTTGGGTTACTATTCTGAAATTTGAATAGTCTGTACTTTTTAGTAACAAAATAAATTTTGAAAATCTCTTTGTCTCTCTTTCTCACACGGCAACAAAGATAGACAAGTGGGTGCTTGTTCCCAAATATAGTGCTCAAATTCAAATTGAATTAGGTACTTCCTATTTCAATTTGGTTTATTATATATACTACATTTGGTTTAATTTGTTCTTGATAAAATTAAAGATATATAACACCATGAAACAAAATTTCTGAGTTATCAATATATATCTAATTGCTTCTGAGATGAAACCGTGAAAAAATTTTATTTCACTGCAAAAACTTTTCTTTTGTAGCCAGGAGAACATTAACTTGTATATTGCGTACCATACAGAAAACTTACAAATTTCGTGTCTTCTCTTTATTTAAAGACAAAAAGGGAACATTGTACTCAGAACTGTACTATATTTCAACCAAAATTCTGCAAATTGATGACAAATATCTTGGAAATGTGTAGATTTGCGAGATAACATAACTACCACTATGTAGCTATCTGCCGTGGTTACAGTATTAACAATAAATATGTTTGAAATACATATAGACTTACTGTTCTTATTACAACCACGGTAGGTATGGAAATATGCACCTGTGTAAATACCACTGTGTGTGCCACAAAAGCAAAGTTTCTGGGGACACACACATAGACAACAACAAATTACACCCAAACTCACGAGAGATATAAATGTAGGCCATACAAATGTTTATCCCGGCCCGGGAATCGAACCTAGGACTTCTGCATGGCAGTAACCGTAACAATAACGGCATGGTGGCCATTCGGCCACTGAGGCAGTTAATTATGGCAATTAATCAATCAATAAACAGAAACCAATACAGTCAAACCAGAAACAGAGGACTACCACAACCTATTAAAATTGTATTACTTTAAACCTTTCGTTGACGTCTTGCACCATGACGCCCTTAAAGTAAGCTTATTATAATATTAAAACTATGATGTTTTATTGGCAGCTTTGTGACTATTCATTCACGCAGGTCGTACTATGACGTGACTTTAACATTAAAGTAATATTGCTCTTATGTCAAATTTAGCAATCTTAAAATAGTTACACAGATGCAATTGAAACAATATTATTTTCAGTTTTATTGTCCTAATATTGATTTGTAATGATTAAAAGTTGAACTTATTTATTTACATTTACATCTCTTCAATATTTTGTTATTTTTTTATTTAATAGTACATAGGAAATAATTTCTCGTTAAATAAAAATACGCGATGTTTATTTCGTAAAATCGTGACAGCGACATCTATATGCTCCTTGGCGACACTAACAGTTGACACTAGACTATAATTCCGAATTCACAACGTGACCATCAAGGCTCAACTTGTTTTATTTATTTTTCTTCATCAAAATGCGGAAAAATATTTGAAAACAACGTAATTTTAATAGATTTCATTATTACAAGCTTTTCTATTTTTGGCAGTTGAAATTCTCTGAATGTAAATAATATTAAGTACTTTATCAATAAACTACGATACGACAATTCGGAACATCAAAAAACAAAGAGATGGCATTACACAGTTCATATAGCATTATTTCTTTCCTATTTTTAGTAAGAAATAGACAATATTGGGAAATCATTCGTTCTTTCAGTCACTTTAGCAATAATACATTACTTGGTTGATAGTGTTGTCATGGTACGATTAAGAGCAATATTATAATAAGCTTACTTATAAGCTTACATTGAAATAAGATTGTTTTTTGAAAGAACCTTTTTGAAAATTTGTTACATAAATGATTATCACTAGTATCAGGTTTCTTACCACGGTATGACTTCTTTTTATTTTCCCGATATTTCGGAACGGTTGCACGCTCCATGGTCACGGGTTGACGCGTCAACTTGACGAGTCAACTCGTCAACTAGTGACGACTAGTTCGTTAATTGTAATCGTGGACTAGTGAATAACCACGAAAGTCTTAAAATCTATATAATTTGTTACATATTGTAATTGATACTTTTTTCAGCCACTAAACTTGCATGATGACGTACTTGGCGTGGTGAATCATCTGGAACAACTGGCGACCTTACTCGTGCTTGAGGCTAAAGCGAGGGAGATCAATTCGGCCACCAGCCCAGCTGCCTGTCTCGAGTACCTACTCAGCGAGAGCTTGCTTGACAAACTGTACGAATGGGCGATATGCACTGGCAGGTGAGTACTGAAACTGATTTTATTACCTTTGGACTGCCAAAGGTAACTCGGGCATTGTTTATTAGTAACATCGAGTATATAACCAGAATTAGAGACGAAGTGTAATTTAAATTGTTTGAAAACTATTCTGGCTAATCATTACGGTGACAACTGCGCTCCGATTGGCCAGCCCGAATTCGAAACAATTGACGAGTGTCGTCAATTGTTTCACTTCAAATCGACCAGTTTAATTTAAGCTTTTGCTATAATGGACGAAAATTGAAAAATTACATATTTAATATTTAATTTCCGATGAAATGTGATTCAGTTTGTTTTGCAATTAGATGTTTTGCTGTTTTTCCCACACCACCTAATTGAACAGCCCCCCATTGTTAGAGATATTATCTTTATTGCAATAAATACAGAATATTTTTGGGATATACGGAGACGTAGACGCAAGTCAGTTGTTGGCGCTGTACTATTTCTGTTTTCTAATTTGTGATATCAGCGCAACGACAGTTCATATATAAACGTGATGTAAGGCCCATTTACCTGATGAGTTGCCAGGGATAGATGGTGCTTATTTCGTTTCTATTTCTGGTTATATACTTGATGACTGTGTTTAATATATGTTATAAAAAATTATATTGAACTGTTTTAAATAGAAAGAACACAAACAATTGGCACAAAATTCTTTTGTCTAACAGCATAAGGTGTGTTTGTCACGTAACTATGACACGGAGATAAATGACACGCCTAAAATTCAAGGAAAATCGTTTAAAATCTTTGCTTACAAACGGTTATTACAAATGATACTTTATGTACTTTCTAATAAATGCTTTATTTAATAACTTATAATTTATATTTCGCTTTATAATGAATTGTATGACAAGAGAAATGCCACGAGCTCACATGAAAGTCGCATGTCACGCGGGCCGCAGTTTGTAGGTATTATATTTTTTTAATTCGAAACGTTTTTTGTCAATACAAAGTCCTGTGTTATGATTTGTGAATTCACTCGAAATATATTGGTTCTCGTTCAAATGGACGGAAGAAATGATGCAAGTTTGCAACTTTTTTTTTTTAATCGTAGACAATAATAATAAGTCCCACACTCAAGCCCCGCTCTAGAGAAACCTGTATCGCGGGTATCACGGACACACACTAGACAACCACAAATTAAACCCATACTCGCAAGAGAAATAAATGTAGGCCTTACAAATGTTTCTCCCGGCCCGGGAGACAGACCAGCATGGTAACCATTCAACGACGTAGACAGTTAGATGTAGGAAAGTTGTTTGGGTTCGACTGTATTTTTTTTGTGTGTTATATTACGCGATTGCTCCCGGCATTTGTGAACCGATTTTGATGATTTTTTTTTTGTTGGAATGAGGGTACCGCAGTATTGGTACCATTGAAATTTCAAGAAAATATTCCACCTCCTAAGGATGGAAAACTAGGAGGTGAATCCGGTTTCGTGCATTTTCCGGTAACCTATTTCAATAAAACTTGCCAAATACATGCAAAATAACGAACTTTTTAAATCGATTTTTTATATTTCATTTAGTAATCAAGTAAATATTAGACGTCCTTGTATGAGTCTGTGCACAACAGTGGCACATATTGTCTCTTTTATTACCGACATAATAATCTTTAGATGAAGTTATTTTCGATGTTTCATTTCTACGCCTCGCAAGTAAAACGCGAAATACTTTATGAAGTATAGCAATATAGATCCTAAGAACTCATCGTTATAGTGATATCTAAAAAGCTGACAATTATTAAAAATAGTTCGTTGTTGAAAACAGATTACGATCGTACGTGTTAAGATAGTTACGACAACAGTATCAGATACGACGGATAGTAAAAAGAGGGTGTATGTGTTGATACAGTTCTGGGTAACTGTATTGTCAAAGATTAGGTCACAGGAGATTAAAAAGTTTTCAATCTATTTAAAATAAATCATGGTATGTAATCTATTTTCACTGAGATACTTATAAAAAAGTAACAAAACAATGATAAAAATGCCCGTTTGCTTATTATTAAAAAACTAGTGCTAGATACCTTATCGGTTTTGTACAGATAAGCTTACAAATTTTGTAAGTGTAAATAATCCATATCGATCCCACTTGTGACTTATGATTAGGAGTTAAACGAATCATGACTACTTATCGCTTATTTCAATTAATCGCACATTGCCTCTCGCAACAGTTTGTGATAATACACATTATTGTTACAAAAGAAATACGCCTAATATATTGACTTCGATGGTTTGTTTCCTCACACGCATATACGTCAATTTACAACTATAAACATACAAGATCAATTGAGACTATCAGCGCAAAAATTGTTTAAACCACATTAATTTTTTCTACAACAATACTTTAAATGATACTAACGTTTGTAACTGTTTTACTTGTATTGTTTTACCTACATTACTTACACTACTTACGTTATTTGTTTTACATTTTACACTTTTACTTGATATGCAGATATATAGTATTTAGAGTTAGGTATATGTATTTGCGTGTGGTGCACTTTAGTGGCATGGTTTACTGGGCTGCGATCGCTCACCATATGGTACTGGCAGAAAACCGGCACTATTTGACTTCTCTCGGTCTACAGTATTTATATTGAGTCAGGGCCATTTCAGCATAAACTGTAGTCGTAGGTACATTAAAATTTTATCACATCTTATAGCATTTGTTTGTTTTTCTCACAGTATTTGTTTTTCTCGCAGTATGTGTTTTATATAAATGTGTCTAAAATGAATAATGAATGTTCTATGTGCTTTTATGTTATACTCTGTGAAGTGATCGTAAATGTTTTGTATCTGTTTATATTGCTGAATAAACGTGTTATCTATCTATCTACCTATCTTTTATATTTAGATGCTATTTTTAACTGACTTTAAAAACGGAGTAGGTTCTCAAACCGACTGTATTTACTTCTTTGTATGTTACCCAATTACTATTTAATTTGTAAACCGATTTTGATGATTCTTTTTTTTGTTGGAAAGAGCATACCTCAGTATTGATCCCATTTAAATTTGAAGAAAATGTTCCACCTGTAAAGGTAGCAAACTAGGGAATGAATCCGGTTTTGCGCACTTTCCGTTAACCGATTTCAATAAAACTTGGCTAATAGATATTATTATAATTCCATGAAGTTTTGAGGTCGGTTTTTTTATAAAAAGTTATAATTATCATGTGTAAGAAAAAATGGTAATAAAATATTTTTTATACATGAAAATATCATCCAATTATAAAATAATTATGTACTTTATTGTATCATTCAAAGTAATATTGTAGAAAATAATTAAGTTAATTACACCACCTTGGCGCTGATAGTCCCAATTATTTATTGACTAGTGAGTTTAATATTAAACCTTATTTGTGAGAGGGTGGTGCCTGACATAGGCATAAAAATGCCTATAAGCCGCCAAGTCACCATTCCGCGAAACGTATTAGAATTAGGCTAAACTAAATTTTACCATATTTACTGTACAGTAATAATCTTTACCAGGTGAATTAAAGTAAATATATTTGGCCGCTATTGAATTTAAAAGTTACCGTCACGGTATAATTTATGGATGAAAGCACTTAAAGTTATATTTATGACTTAAATGTTTATTTATAGAAATTTATTAAGTCGAAACTGTTAAATACTTGCTTTAAGACAAAGCATTAAAATTCAAAATCCAGCAGTTAATATGAAAATATTTTAATTGCACGCATACCATATGCGGCAGACTTTGCTTGAGGTACGTAAGTAGTTCGCGGCGATATCTCAGCATTGTATGACGCATACTCTTCTTAGAAACAAAAGTCGAGTCGCATATTACATTTGCGCTGCCATTCAACCTCATTTTGTCTTTATGTTCAATCAATCTATTACCTAGTTTAGATAGATAGATAAACACTTTATTGTTCACACACAAAAACAAGAACAGTACATAAACAACTTAAAATTAATGTGGGCAAAGACGGTCTTATCGCTAGGAACGATCCCTTCCAGACAACCTTTGAGACAGAGGAATCTAATCGTAGCGGGAGACGTAGTGCGCTAATTTAAAAAAATATATAAATTTAAATTTTATAAATAAAAAATAAAATAATAAAAATAAACAATAATAATTTATCGAATATTTAACAAATAACGATAAGATTATAAGGCTACGTATTTGAACGCGAGCCTAGATTTTAGGTTAATATACTCGTACATAGAGATGTGTACCTCAATCCGCTCGCGGAAAATTAATACGATTAAATAAGAACAGGCGGAGGAAATTTGGCACAGATCCGGTGTTGACAAGAGCCTGATGGCGACTGATAGGGCAGTGGACGGCGCTGCGTGTCTTTAAACAGCTGGGCAATTTTCAAGTTTTGAAATAAGTGTGATGTTAATAACCATAGGGCTTCAGTTGAATATCAGAATTTAGCAGGTTCTTTGTAGTACTTTAAAATTAATTTCTCCATATAAAAATATTGCTCAAAGTTAGATATTTAATTCCTAAATAATTAGTTTTTTACTTTTATTTTAGCCTGTTTTCAGGATTTTATATGATCGGATACAGTACATTTTATCGTATAACAAATTAGCACATTCCTTAGACAATATTCTTAAGTAAACTGCCTCCGTGGCCGAACGGTTACCATACCGGACTGCCACGCAGAGGTCCCCGGGTTCGATTCCCGGGCCGGGAGAAATATTTGTATGGCCTACATTTATTTCTCTCGTGAGTTTGGGTGTAATTTGTGGTTGTCTATGTGTGTGTCCATGGCACCCGCGACACAGGGTTTCCCTAGTGTGGCGCTATGTTGAGTGTGTGCGTTATTATTATTATTATTAAGTGTGTCGCGTATTTTGGTAAGATCGTTGTAAGGGCAGAATAGCGACTCTGTCCTTACAGGATGTTACTTCGTGATCGTGACGCGGTAACCGTTATCACGAGGGTGTTTTCGGAATAGTTGTTGGAATTAAAAATGTTATAAGTTTAAAGGTAATGTTGTTTAATTATAAATGTAATGTAAAATAAAGTATTGTAAATGTTTTAAATACGTTAATGTTAAATGTTATTGATGTTTATTGTTTAGGAGTTGGTAACTAACTAACTCAAAAATACAATAAAATGTCATGATACGATTTACCACATGAACAAAATAACTAGAACTAGCGCACCTTACTATAGCAAAATAAAACTAGAACTAGACCATGTCAATGCTGACAATTAAAGTTCAATGTCGTACGTAACCATACAATCGTCATTTTAGTAAATATCTAAAACATTTGATCTAGCAAAACCAATTTTCCCGCTTTATCTCCTTGACTCGCCTTAATTAAATTCATTGAAATTAATTTAATCACCTGTCGCTCAAACATCAGTCAGTGCAACACTTAAATATATCGACACTCGAAACGTAATAAATACAAAGCGGCTGTTACAAATTTTTAAGGTAAATGAAAATTAGTAACAGGTCTAGATGGGTGAGGCTTGGGGAAATGGCCAAATCCGGCCGGCTATCGGTATCTGTATAAAGACGGACATCTGTATAAATACGTTCCCAATAAACAAAATCAGTGGGTATTCATCGAAGCGATTTGCTTCCTGTACAATGTGACAAGCACCGCTTGCCACCGGCAGGGAGTCCATCCTCACACCCTGGAACCGAGTCAATCTTGTAGTACAGATCAGAGGAGCTTTCTCCCACGTACAAGTAGGTTGTGGAATGAACTCCCCGTTGGGGTTTTCCCGCAGGCATACAGCATGGAGTCCTTCAAAAGGGGTTTGACAAGTGTCCTAAATCGTCGGCAACGCGCTCGTGACGCCGCTAGTGTTGCAGGCGTTCATAGGCGACTGTAATCGCTTTCCATCAGGCGGGCCGTATGCTTGTTTGCTGCCTACATGATGTATTAAAAAAAAGCATTGCCTCTGGTTATACTATATATAACTATATAAATAATATATTTCGATACGTCTCTACGTATGGAAATGGTCTCTACGTATCGAAATTATGAAACTTGACTATAGCACTCAAAAACAGTAATTTAGAAATAAATCTAAATAACTCTTCTCTAAATTTATTTCAAAATTTTGTTGACATTTATAGAGGCTATAGAGGTATAGATCATTTTCCTAAATTTAAATGTAAAATTTCATGGTTTTCTTTAAACTTTCACGTTTGGTCTTCACTATTTATTTGTGCACTTGGGTTGTCACCAAGTGCGAGTGGTTGGAAAAACTCGCACGGCTAGAAGATGTTGACACCCGTCTCTTCAGTCCCTTCGAGACCGTGGACGTTGCAATACGTCTGAAACGTCGAGCTTGCGACGATGATTAAGCCCTGAACTAAAAATCAAATAAATTTCATGGTGTTTATGGTATTTAGTTTAAGGTAATATGTTACTTAGAAGTCGTTAATCATTGTAATCGGCACCATAAAAATACATGACGTCTTTAGTTTTCTGGGTCCATTCGACTCCCAGATGAGGCAAGAGCTCTCTACAAGTCTTTGAATGTAGTATTACTTACTTCTCAAACAAAATAATATATCCATGGAGCAAAATATCTTATCTACAATATTTGAAGTAGTTGCTGTACTTTTTAAGTAATAGCCGCGGGATGTCTATAACTATAATAAGACTAACTTAAGACAATGTTCATTCAGACATGAATTCTTCAAGTTACATTGCAATCTATGTAGCTATGTACCATGTACAAGTTTATGAAACTTGATACTATGTATTACCTACATAAGAAGCCAAGAAGACAAAATGTGTTAAATTTGAATTACCTAACGTAAAATCGACTAGTCCAAGAATAGAAATAAACGGAGAAAAGTTAGACCTTGTTAATAAGGCAGTCTTCTTGGAAATGAGCTTAGATAGTAAACTTCAATGGTTCCCACATATATCTTCCCTGGCCAGCAGATTAAGCTCCGCTGCATACGCAGTCCGCAGAATACGTGAGATTACCGATGTTAGTACTGCTAGACTAGTTTACTTTAGTTACTTCCAAGTATAATGTCCTACGGGATTCTCATGTGGGGTAAAGCGGCAGATATTCAAACCATATTTGTATTGCAAAAACGAGCGATTCGTTCTGTGTACCGTCTAGGCTCTCGGGTTTCTCCCAGAGAAAAGTTTAAGGATACTGATATCATGACTGTGGCATCACAGTACATTTACTCATATATTTTATATGCCCGTAAAAATATACATAATTTCAATAAGAAAGAAGATATATGGATATCTTCTTATTAACCTTAAAGCTAAGTCCAAACTCATGGTACCACAATTTCCTTTAACCAAGGTAAACAACTCTTTTATGGGGACTGTATACGTTTTTACAATAAAATTCCGGAGCATATATTAAGTTTATCTTAAAAACTACATTAAAAATATTTTGATCGAAAAATCATATTACAAAATTGAAGACTACGTGTTAGATAAAGATGTATGGAAAGACGACGGCTCCAGAATCCACACAAATTTGATTCAAAGTGTATTCCATAGCATTTACTTTTAACTGCCTCCGTGGCCGAACGGTTACCATGCCGGACTGCCACGCAGAGGTCCCAGGTTCGATTCCCGGGCCGGGCGAAATATTTGTATGACCTACATTTATTTCTCTTGTGAGTTTGGGTGTAATTTGTGGTTGTCTATGTGTGTGTCCATGGCACCCGCGACACAGGGTTTCCCTAGTGCGGGGCTATGTTGAGTGTGTGCGTTATTATTATTATTTAAGTTTATTTGAAAAGAGCAATCCCTAGAGGTTCTTGCTCGTTCTTCTGAGGAGGTCAGCGAAGAGAACGAGCAGTAGCTTAAATGGGACGTTCTCAAATATAAATTTATTTTACTTATGGAATAAATAATCTTTGACTTTGACTTTGAATAAACGGTTAATGTAAAAGTGTCAAAGTGATAATCTTAGAATATTTGAGCTTAAGATTGAGTGTAAAGTCAAAGTCAAATAATTTATTTGCATGTTACAGTAACAGCATATAAAATACTATTTAAGTTGGTAGATTGTTGTAAAGCATCATGTGACACCCTGTAAGGGCATGGCAAATTACAAAGGGCTTTTTGTTATAATAGATTAATACATTTCCCCCTGTTAAATGCTAAATTAAGAGCATCGAGTATAAGCCAGAAATAGAGACGAAATAAGCACGATCTATCCCTGGCAACTCATCAGGTAAATGGGCCTTACATCACGTTTATATATGAACTCTCGTTGCGCTGATATCACAAATTAGAAAACTGAAATAGTACAGCGCCAACAACTGACCTGCGTCTACGTCTCCGTATATTCCAAAAATATTCTGTATTTATTGCAGTGAAGATAATAGCTCTAACAATGGGGAGCTGTTCAATTAGGTGGTGTGGGAAAAACAGCAAAACATCTAATTGCAAAACAAACTGAATCACATTTCATCGGAAATTAAATATTAAATATGTAATTTTTCAATTTTCGTCCATTATAGCAAAAGCTTAAATTAAACTGGTCGATTTGAAGTGAAACAATTGACGATACCCGTCAATTGTTTCGAATTCGGGCTGGCCAATCGGAGCGCAGTTGTCACAATAATGATTTGGCAGAACTTTACTTTTCAAATAAATTAAATGACATTTCGTCTCTATTTCTGGTTATATACTGGATGATTAAGAGCCTCATTAAAACTCGTATGTAGTTAAAATTACTATTTGGGGTGGATAACAGGTTCATATTCATATTCATTACCTCAGATTCGTTACCTCTCAACTATAGATTTATATTTTTAAACAGTATTGCTGTCTTTGTTATGCATTTCTCCCATCAGTCACATATTCTTTTAATACATTGTACTTTAATTTAGATTTGTGGTTAGCAGTTGTAAATGTTGTGTTCTTGTTATAAGGGCCCGCTCACACGCCGCCTTATACATCGAAAATTAATTATATTTCAATTGTACTTCAATTTATTTGTTGCAGATTCGAAAATGCGGTGCGGCTGGAGCAATTGAAGTTGTTTGGTAGTCTCATTAGCCACTACAGCTCACAGGTAAGATGTTATGTCTAATGTCACATAAAGTATTTGAAATCCTCAAACTCTAGTCTACTCATTTTTAGTAGCAGTATGAAAGAGTTCGCCCAGGAAAGTACCACCTTACCATTCTCTGCCGCCAAGCAGTAATGTGAGCATTACTGCATTCCGGTTTTGAAGGTTAAGGGTGCTGGTGAAATTACAGGCACATGGGACTTGTCAACTTATGTCTCAGGGTGACAGGCGCAGTGGCAGTGCCCCTCAGATCTTTATAATTTAACTTATTAAATTTAAATTTAGCTCTGAGTGGCACTGTAACTGTTACGGACAGGCGTATAGCTTGATATTATAAAAAAAAACTCAAATCTTTATTTCATAGGTAAACAAATTACACTTGATTAAACTCTATTGCTCATTGGTTTGACACGGCTGAGCCTCCACACACTTCATACACAGCCCTCGAGTTAGGGACACCGCATGGTGGTCGCTACAGTATCATTAAGGACACCGTATATCTGTAGGATGCATGACAGGTTATAATTATATCCCACGGCTGGCCATAGACTTCCTCTAAGCACGATGCTCAGGCCATAGTCTACAATGCTAACTCAATGCGGTTTAGAGAGAGACTTACATTTTCTAATGATCGTACAGCGTTTATCTCAATATGTTCCTTACATGCGAGTATGTATACGTATCGCTAGAAAATATTCGCAAATAAACTTAACTTAAAAATTGAACTCAACCTTCGACCTCTCAATAGAGGAAGAATACTTATCTCTCTTGGCTCAGTTGTGTTCGTTTACAATTTACATCAATATTGTTTACAATTTCTGATTGGTCATTTTCATGGTGTATAATATGTGTAAAAAAATTAATGATTTTCGTTTTTTGCTCTAGGTCATTGCGGCAGAACCCTTTCTCAGGCCGCTCTTGAAACTGCTCAGCGGTTTCAGAAACGAGTTGCTACCGCTGAACTTAGAAAGTAAGTAACTTTTAACGTTAAATTTCCATTGGCGAATATTGTTTTTCTGTGTCACAAGTGTGCTTTGTTTTGCTATATGCGATTTGACCTTGAATTGTATTTTGTTCTGGAGCGAAATGTAATATTTCTGGCGAGGACTGTGTCCCTTTCTAAAGAGAAATGTATTATTTTCGGGAGATAAATATATTCTTTTTGGTCTCCCGAAATAAATGTATTATTATTATTATGTTATTAGAGATAAATGTATAATTTTTCGGAAATGAATGTATTCCTTTCTGAAAAGATATGTATTTCTGACTATGTATAAGTAATGTCATTCATTTTTATAACACCTATGTTATAAAAATGAATGATCACGCTTCGTCTGGTGGTCGTACAAAAAAAAACACTAAAATTAAAATCATTTAAAAAAATTTTTGTCACCGCGCACGTTTTGTTCGTTGTACATAATATATCTATTTTTTAGCTCAATTTATTATTTTCTCATCATTCTCCCCTGCTTGTTACATCTCATATATGATGATGGTAATTATGGCGGCTTCTAGACATGCGAAAGTTTCCCTTATTTAGCAAGCGATTATAGTCTAGCAAAGTGAACAAAATTATACTGGTGAACAGAAATAAATTGGCCAAGTGAATATTTCGACTTTAATATGTGTGATTTTTACTATATTTCAATGTTTATATATTATAAAGCTTGTAATGTTTATAACACGACATTTAACCACCTCACAAGTTCTATACAACTGATAGCGATTACGCAGTTATGTTAATTGCGCTTGCGTTGCGAAGTATACTAAAGCTATATTTGTAAAAAATATTTTTAACTGATCCTGCGATCGTTACTCTAAAGAATGTGTTTTAGCGACAAATTATTTTTATATGCATAATATACATATATATATATACAGTGCGTTTTTTAAAATGGGACAGTATGGGGAAATCCGAAACTATAGGACTTGTAGGGAAACTATTAAGTCTTATTTTGTGAAAACAGTTTTGGTACAGTAAATTTATTGATCAAGTGTGAGTTGTCTATAAAAATGAACAGAATTTATTAGTTTTTTAGTGCTGATCGACTCAGTGTCATGTAAGGATTATTTCATTGTATTGGAAGAAAAAAATCGGAACAGCAGAAGTTGGTCAATAAAATGTTTTTTATACAAAATTGACTAATTTTTTTAATGCTGATAGATTTAAGTTTCATGTAAGTTGGTCAAATTTAATAAAAACTTTTTTTTCGTACGCTTATGCTCATACGCTTGCGAGTTGTGACGTATTCAAGTAAATTGAAACGTTTATTCGCATCAAGTGGTGGATCCTTGACGTGATTTAATGCCGATGCGATCACGTGTCGCGCCACAAGCGCAAATGTGACCATGGCCTAAGGTCGGATCAACGTGTGCGTCACGCGTCATGCCATTCATAGAACACACTATATTGACGTTTTTAAAATAGATAATAATCTGTTGTTAGCAGTTAGTAAATGTGACTATAAATTAAATCTTGTTCTTTTCAAAATCATAAGTTCATTTCCCAATTTTATCCTACCCGGCATCGAAGTCGGGACCTCCTCATACAGCGCCCACGTTACAAACCGTTAGACCGCCGAGATCGTCAAAATTTCAAATTTAATTAATGCGTTGTTTTTCATATCAACATAATGTTTGTCGTATTTTGGCATCAGCTATATAGCATATAAACGAAACGAAATTCTAGCGAATTTCTGGGGTATATTTGGTGGTGGTGTTTGTGACTGTAGTTGCGCTTGTGTTATTTGTGTTATAATTTTTTTGCGTACGTAATTTTTAGGGTCGAAAAATTAACTGCATGCAAAGAAAGGGTATTCAACACAAGCGCATCTATTTTGCACGATTTCACCTTCACTGGGTTCGCGGAGTAGCAAATTAATTTACTTCCATTTTTATGAATTTTTGGAACGGTTGGATTAATCGGTTTGGCGAAAACATAGCTGGTTCAAGTCCAGCTGGATCTTTTTTTTTTAGGATTTTTTTCTGATTGTTCGATGAAGTAATGGAGTATTTTCTCAAAAAATATTAAAAGCACAATTTATACGTCCCACTGCTGGACACGGGTCTCCTCTGAGGCGAGAATTTAGGCCATGGCAATGCGGGTTGATGACTTCACACTTTTTCCAAATGTTGTGAACCTTCTTCGAAATGATATTCAGTAAAATAAATATTGAATATTTAATAATTCATTCATTCTCCTTTATTTTCATTCATAACTGCCTCTGTGGCCGGACGTTTACCATGCCGGACTGCCACGCAGAGGCCCCGGGTTCGATTCCCGTGCCGGGAGAAATATTTGTTTGGCCTACATTTATTTCTCTCGTGAGTTTGAGTGTAATATCTTAATTTGTGATTGTCTTTGTGTATGTTCGTGGCACCCGCGATACAAGGTTTCCCTAGTGTGGGACTATGAGTATGTACGCGTTACTCTCACAGGGCTGGTGCCACGTTCATTTTTGTCCCAAAAATAATTACTAAGGGCGTGATATGATCAGTATTGAACAATGTACTAACGGAGCACAAGCTTCGTCACACACTAATATAATTCTTTTATAATTTTTACAAAAGCATTGTATTTGTGCTTAATATCGCTCTAAACCACAAACAAATGCAATCGTGAACGTGTTTTTTTGTCACTACTATATACGTACACTTATTGCTTGTATGACTTGCAATTTCCTTTGATAAAATTCTTTATCACGTCTGCACTGTGACCATCCGTGCTAGTGAAGTTCATTTATATTTATTGCATTTAGCGAAATCATTAATTGCGAAATTTTAAACAATACGAATATCCTATTGACGGTCTTAGGCTGAGATTTATAAAACTTGTTTCTTGTCCTGCAGAAAGTGTGTTAATATAATAATAAATAAACTAGCTCTTCTTGGCAGTTGTCTTCAAAAAGTCTCAAATTCATTTAAATGCTTCTATAATAAGATAATAACATTCCGATTAATATTCAAAATTTGCCATATACGAGGTCTAAAACCGTGATGAAACAAAAACTTCATACTAAAGGTTAATTATACAGCTTCAGTGTACTTGGATGACAAAAATCCGTAGTAGTGACCCGGTTAGCTCTTACAGGTAGCTATTCTCGATCTAGGGTGTTTATATGAAATAATGTAATGATAAATGTATTCAAATGTATATTTACAAAGAGCAACGCCTAGAGTTTCTTGCTCATTCTTCTCGGGGGAATCAGCCTTACGAATGAACAGTATAATTTGTAGTGTGACGATTCCAAGTGTAATTTGCTTACCTATGAAATAAAAATTATTTGATATTGACCTTGAAAACGAACTTTGAGTATACTTCAAAATTTCTAAGTTTAAGCTTTGTCTACAAAATTGGTTTTGTAAATACAAAAAACTTACGAGACGCTCACGGGCCGCTTTAACTTCCCACCGCCACGATCAACACTTGGATTTCCCAATATGACGAAACCAAAATGGCTGCCATACAAAATCTCCTCAACTATCGATGATGCTTGTTGTTTTATAAATCTCACCTTAGGCTCTCCATTGTGCAATATTGCGAGTTGGTACATTATTTTACAATGTAACAAATAATTAATAAACTCACAACGTAATAATACTTAAAACTAAAAATTTATTTGGATAAAAATCTGAAAAACTACAAAATCCCGCTATTTTTTTCTCTGAGATGCAATCCAAGTTTTATATATAAAGCCAATACATAATTTCGTAACTTAACATCTACATTACGTAAGTTGTATGAACTACAAATTACAATACAATACTCTTGGTTCGAGCCCACGAACATTCTTTGTTGTAAAATGAATTTTTAATGGGATTGTTTCACATTTAAATTCGCTAAATATAATTACATGCTTCAGGCCTGAACAAATATACCCTCAGTTTCGTGTGGAAGACGTATTTTTCTACATACCCCATGGTCATTAGAGTACACAGAGCTAAATTTTATTGCAATATTTTCATTATAATGTACACAAGGCGTTTATGTGATCATGGGAATTATGTTGTCTGAATCTAAGTCACTTCACCTATTATATATCTACATTTTGATGTACACGAGGCGTTAGGAGGTTAAGGGCTAAAATACAAAAACTAGTTTTTCCAGGTTTTACTAACACAAATTTCAACATGAACATACAGAAATGACGTTTACTATATACCCAGCATCCACATGGCATTAATATGTCACGCGTCTTACAGACACACGGTGTCCTAAACGATTTTAGTAAAACAAATTAAGTAGCAGTAGAGGTCCTTGTAAAAGAGTCTAGTGTAGTACTGCCACCTTGCCTATTTCTGCCACCAAGCAGTAATGCGAGCATTACTGTGTTTCCGGTTTTGAACGTTAAGGGTGCTGGGTCGTTCGTTCCGTCACTTAGTTACATAAAAAAAAATTAATATTTTTTTTAATGGTGGATGAAAACGGTTGGTTGCACGTTAGGGACACCATGTGACTCTCGCTACAGTACCAACATCTTTTTTTTTTATAATATAAAGTGACGGCACGAACACATCGTGCGCTTGATGGTAAGCTTGTCCATAAGAATTGCAGAGCCACTCAGACCTTTAAATCGCAAAGATCTGCGGGGCACTACAACTGGGCCCGTCACCTTGAGTCATATGTTGACAAGTCCCATGTGCCTGTAATTTCACCAGCACAGGAACACCATGTGTCTAGCGCGCGTGACGTGTTAGTTTTATATCAAACAATTTTTTAAGCTTAGGCATTTATCTTGAAAATGCAAAATGGCTCAAATTATGTGTCCTGGAGTATATCTCATCAATATTAAAGATTAAGGCAAAGCGATCTATTTTGACCTATCTATCATGCATTTAAATATAAATGTTATTTTAGACTCACGCGTTAAATATCCGTCCAACGGCAGCTTTCCTTACTTTCATGAGGTTTCAATATGTACCAATTGTCCTTCAATGACGATTGACAATTGTTATAAATAACTGAAGTTACAAGCGAGTATTGGCCCGTTCAATTGCAGATCAACTGGTGTCAGTTCTCAATCAGCTGTGCGTCGCGCTAATGCAGAACATGAAGTTCGTCGACCTCTTCTTCTTGACGACTCACGCGCACAATGGATCGCAGGCTGAGTATGTTGATTGTCACTTTAATATTGACACGAACTGCATTTATTATTAAACCGACATGGTTTTCGTTTCTGCACATTTATTCGAAATTTAATGACTACGCTCAAATATTACACATTTGATTTTTTAACCGACTTCAAACAAAAGGATGAGGTTCTCAATTCGACTGTATTTTTTTTATGTATGTTACGCGATAACTCTGTATTCTTACGCGATAACACGATTTGTCAACCGTTTTTACTGATTTTTTTTTGAGTACCTCAGTATTGGTTCCGTTTCAATTTCAAGGAAATATTCCATCTCTAAGGATGGCCAACTAAGAGATGAATCCGGTTTCGTGCACTTTCCTGTAACTAATTTCAATATAACTTGGCAAATAAATGCATTTCTACGAACTTTTGAAGTCAGTTTGTTTTTTATAAAAAATGTTACAATTATTAAATTTCTGTTAACTGAATAGTAATTCTGCATATTTGGTAAGTAGGCTTATTTTACTATAGCCTTTATTAATAATAATGTCAGTCATCTAGATCAGACACAATTTAGAAAAGTTTATTTTCCAAATTGATGCTACCGGAAATCGAACCTGAGACCTACTCATACATCGCCCATAGTGTAACCCCTCTAGTCTAAATAAAACCTTCGAATCTTTTTTCTTCTCGTTATACGACCATGGCTGTAATGAGAAGAAAAAGCCCGAAGGTTTTATTTGGGGCATTATAGTCAAGTTAGCCTGCATGTAATCATACTATTTACTCGCGAATGTGATGAAAAACGTATGTTTCAAGGGCGGGCGGTACGGGAATTAAGAACCTCGACTCCGACTTCGTGCTTCTAATAGAGTCTCGTTCGTAATTCTTCATTTACCGCCCTTAAAACAATGATATACTATAACGTGCCTAGAAGCGTTCAGGTGTAGGGGATAGTTCGGAATGTGCAAATTATGTTGGGTCTAAGGGACCGAGCGCGCCGTACGCATTCGTTTTTAAACCATCTTCCTGATGAGTTCTTTCTTCGTCGCATTCTAGAAACCCATCGATATGCAATATTTCCTTTCAGATTCATAATAGTCCGCTTGCTATTAGCGTCTGTGCACCGCGAATGTGGCACCGGCGCGACTGCACGCGACGCTCTTTTGCTCTGCGCCAAGATGTCCTCACGGTGTCCGCAGCTCGCGGAGTACATGCTCGCCGGGAACACTTGCGTCGTACTTGCTACTGGTCAGTTTCTAACCTCGGCAATCTTTTGTCATTTTCTCCGTCTGGGGAAAAACAGATTCGTCTCATGTCTACAGTGTCATTTTATTCCGTTATGGGGCAAAAGCCTCCTCGAAGCCCTCTTTTTCGTCTCTCAGTCATCAAAAATATGGAGTGGCCATTTCTTTATTATTTTTAACGGAAAATAAATTTGTTGAATGTCACGATGTTTCACCATATGATGTTAATTATATAATTATTAATAAAAAGATCGAACACTTAGAAAAAATTCCTTCGATCCAGCTGGATTCGAACATCTGGCACGGTTTGCTAGAAGACGTTGGTTCGAATCCAGCCGGATCGAAGAAACTTTTTCTAAGTGTTCGGTCTTTGTATTACTAATCGGACACCGATTATTCATCTAAACATCGAATTTTTAGGTTATATTAATTTCCAATAATCGTCTAAATATTGGTTAAAATACACAATGCAGTCAGTCCAAGCATACTTGTGTTCAGGTCTAAGCGGGCTGTACTCACATCTGCCGCGGTCCCTGGACGAAAAAATCCACCGGCTGACGCCCGATGATGTCAACCACGTTCACAAACTCACACTCTTCATCGATTCGCTGGAGTTCTGTAACGCCGTCGCTCAGGTAATAAATGAACAACCCCTTTTTTGCTTAGGTTTAGTAGTATCAACCAAACAACACTAAATTTTCATCACGTAGTCGTAACACGTAAGTGCTAAAGCATGAAGTGTAAAACATGTTTGATAAACTCATCCGTAGAACAGCGATCAATGTGCAAGAGTATGTGTTTTCAGGACATACTACATTTCGTTCGTTCTTCATCGCTGTGGATGTCAGATCGACCGTTGGTCGATTTTATATTGCATTATATGCATAAATTCTCAAATAATCTTTACATAGGTCTTAGTTTGAATAAATTAAAGTAAAGCCAGTAAAGTCCCTCACCTCAATGCTAAGTGTGTGTCTGTGTCACACAGGGACAGGGACAACCACACACACACACACACACACATACACACACACACACACGCACGCACGCACGCACGCACATACACACACGCACGCACGCACACACACTTCCGCACGCGCGCAGACACACAGACACACACAGATACACACAGACATACACAGACACACACACAGATACACGCGGACACACACACAGACACACATAGACACACACACACAGACATACACAGACACACACAGACACACACAGACACACACACACACACACAGACACACACAGGGACAGACACACACACGTATGAATCACTTTCGCGCAATTTATGTAATGAAAAATCTCGAACAGGAGCTTGATATGAGCGCAGAATAAAGGCGCCTTCAAATTAGACGCTCATGGAAGCGCTGCAGTAGCGCGTCTGTGTCACGGCAGCCGCAGCACTACTAATTTTCATACATACATAACTGCCTGCGTGACCGGTTACAATGCTGGTCAGCCACGCATATAGATTCCCGGGCCGGGAGAAATATTTATATGGACTACATTTATTTCTCTCGTGACTTTGTATGTAATTTGTAGTTGTCTATGGCAACCGCGACACGGGGAAGTGCGGGGCTTTGAGTGTGTGCTTTAATTTTTATCATAGTCTGTTCCAATTCATTTTGAACAAAAAGTAAACAAACCTGTTTGGTTAAAATTCTAAAGCAATCACTCAACAAATCGAATAAATAACACTTTCACGTATATTTCGAAGATTTCGACTTGATATCTCATCACTTTTTCCAACAATATTCATTTGAATAGCATCGTAAAGTCGTATTTGAAAATTGGTAGTTCAAAAGTGAGGTTATTTTTCATCTATACTTCTATGACTCGTCTATGGTTGCATAGTGCTGTACGAAAAAAAACATTCCGTTCATTCAATTAAAGTTTTTGTAATCTATTGGTAAATCGAAAATTTAAATCGCAATGGAACGAGTATGTAAGTGTAAACATTTGAAAGAGGATTTAAAATTAAGATTTTGGAAATTTTAAATGTATGCTTTTATGGATTAATGTATTTTTACTATTCATGTAAGGAAAACCGCTAGTATGACTCAATTAAACAAATCGATTCATTCAATTAATTAATCGATTTTTAGTTTGCATTACAATTGGCCATCACTAAACTGTCTATGGTCAGGTCAGTGATTTATTTGTTTAATTTTTGTTTAGAATGGATTGGAACGAAGTATATCTAGTCTGCAAAGATGGTGCGTTTGTGGCGCTGCAGCTGCGCTCCTAAATATTGTATGAAAATTAGTAGCGGCGCCACTGCAACGCTTCCATAAGCGTCCAATTTAAATTCGGCCTAAGACTAGGACTCACGTTCAGACATACGCGTTTTTACCAAATTTAAATACATAACATAGAACAAAAGTTGTTGTTTATGATGTTAGTAATATAGTCCTGCGAGGTTGTTCGTATTTTAAACATTACACTGTGTAGATAGTTGTTTATGATATTTATCAATTTGTTTTTAGGTAGCACATCCGTCCATAAAGAAGCAGCTACTGGACCTTCTGTATCAAGGCTTCCTGGTGCCAGTGATGGGACCGGCGCTGCTGCAGGTAATCTTTGACGCTCTCGCTAATGGAGTAGGACGGGATAGGGTAAACCCGCTGTGGGCACAGTGTACATTGTGAAATTACGATGAGATGTTAAGTGTGCTATATTTTTTACGATCGCGAATGACTTAAAATTTAGTATAATTTCCTGTATATTTACATATACACCGTGAAAATTTAATTGTCGAATGAAATTTTAATTTGTACTTGCTAAAAATACGTGAAGTACCTAATGACAGTTAGCAAACATGACTTTCAAACGAGTTGTTTTATTACATTTACAAATTATCCTGTAAGCACAAAAAAATTAACTACACAATCTATAATAGTATTCTATCAATGAAAGTTAGTGGTCATAGCAAGGTGATGCGGCAGATTTTGCCAGTTCGCTGATTTCACCTCAAACTATTTACTTCGAAAATTTTCGAGACCTACTGATTGCCCGCACTGTGTTATGCACATAAAATTTTTCATTCACAAATTCAAATTCAAAGATTCAAAGACTAATTTTCAATCAATCAATTTAAACAGTTTCTTTATACAATACATTGCTAAAGGCTTATAATGATGACCTAGGTAGATAGGATTGTGTGTTATATTTTATAATGAATTGTAGAAAAAATATCCACATTTGACATCTCTATATCAATTCGCTGATTGTTTTGTCTTTGTGAAGGAAGCGAAATGGATGGTTTTTATTTCATAAAACATGGTGGTGAAATGAAATCATTTATAGGCGGAGAACTTTTACTTTCGACATTTGCTGATGACAAACAAGGTTAGTGTTTGTAATTTACACACACCGGCACGTTTAGGAAAACACTAGTTAAATCTTTAAATAAAAAAGGTAGCAGTAGTGCTCCTTGTGAAAAAGTTCGTCCAGGGAGTCCTGTCACCTTACCTATTTCTGCCGCCAAGCAATAACGTGAGCATTACAACGTTTCGGTTTTGAAGAGAACGGGTGCTGGTGAAACTACAGGCACATGGGACTTGACAATTTATGTCACAGGGTGACAGGCGCAGTGGCTGTGCCCATGAGATCTTTGTGATTTAAAGCCCTGAGTGGCACTGCAACTATTATGGACAGGCGTGTCGCTTACCACCAAGCGCACAAAAAAACTGCAGTGTTCTTGCAAAGACGTCTTTTCCTTACGTCTAATTTGAAAATTTAAAGAAAAATGTGTTTTTCATTCATTTGTTTTTATTTACTTACTTTTTAAATTCTATTTATTTATTTACATTATCAATACAATTGCATAGAATAAGTTTGTCGAATGGTTCGAAAGCGAATGCCGAAAATTTTGGTTGATTTTTTAAATTTAATATGTTTTAATTTAATCCATGGTACATACTACTTACACTATATACTGTTTAAATTTTCTGCCTTTTCTACTTTGTCAGAAAATGTAAAAAAAAATGCATTTTGTTTCATTCCGTTTTTTTTAAGTAAAGGTTGAGTAACGCTCAGACGATGTTAAAAGATGTTAATATAATTGCTACTTTATGTCTAATTCTTACTTATTTATATATAACCGTTACTATTTTATATTCTCACTTTTTTGTTACGCTAAATTGTGCCGGTGTGTGTATATTATGGGATATGTATAATTTTTTTGTCTAAATTATGATTTATTAAAAAAACACAAAATTGTAAACATAATTAGTAACTTTTAACTTTTCACGGTTCATTCATCTTTGTATTTGTTTATCGTCGTAATCGTGTGATACGCATGATGCTAATCCCATAGAAATAAAGGCTGTGGTAGATTACTAGGAGAGCGGTTGCCTCCGTTCCGTTGTTTTAGAATCCCTGTGGCGACATGTACAGTTCATGACCTTAGATACCTGACCCCTAGCTGGCTGCAGGACGTTGTATGTTTCCATAATCACAACTTGACCAGCATTCATTTGTCGCTTTACTCTCTATTGCCCAGCGGTATTTTATATTCCTAATCCGAACTACAATAAATTCAACAATTTATAATGCAAATTAACCTCCTGTACATGATTTCATATACACCCATTTCACTCTAACAATATCACGAGGCGCGTGTCCGCTGAAGCGAGTAGCCTTACTAAATTAAAACGTACTTCTTGTAGTGACCTCGTTATTAACCATTGAGTATTTATTTCAGCAATGGCAGGTGAAGAAACATCAGATTTGTATAAACATTTAATTTACTTGCACAAATAACCTTTGGCTGTTGGTGTACCTGTGTAACCATCGAATATATAACAAGAAATAGAGACAAAATGTCATTTAATTTCTGAAAACTATTCAGCCAAATCATTACAATGACAACTGCGCTCCAATTGGCCAACCCGAATTCGTCAATTGTTTCCATTGACTTACAATTATATGGACGTCGGGTCCGCGCTAAAAAGTGTCCGCACTTGTAAGGCGCTAAAATCGTATACAGAGCGCGACACTCCGCTTTAGTCTTCATTTGTTCTACTGACAGCGCGATACTGCGATGACATTACAATTTAAATTTCGAATAGGTTGACTTGGGACATTTTTTTCGTGGTTTTTGTATTAGACCCGTCGTCCATTTATTTGTAAGTCAATGATTGTTTCACTTCAAAATGACCAGTTTAACATGGGCTTTGATATAATGGACGAAAATTTAAATATTACATATTTAATTACCGATGAAATGTGATTCTGTTTGTTTTGTAATTAGAGGTTTTGCTGTTTTTCCCACACCACCGAATGGAACAGGCGCCCATTGTTAGAGATATTATCGTTATTATAGTAAATACAGAGAGAGACGTACACACAGTTCTGTTGTTGGCGCTGTACTGTTTCAGCTTTCTAATTTATGATTTCAACGCTAACGTGAGTTGATATTTAAAAGTTATATAAGGCCCATTTGCCTGATGAGTTGCCAGTGATGGCCCTTATTTCGTCTCTATTTCTGGTTATATACTCGATGTATATAACCGACACGGACACATGCTAATCATTAATTATAATTTGAAATTAAGAGCTCGATGACTTTCTGGAACCAGGGCTTCTCTTTAAAATATTTAATAGACCAGGAAAGCCGACGAATCATACACCGCTTCAATATCATCACGTGATTTTTTTTTACCCACAACTCAGAAACATATTACATATATGATGGGCTGCCATAATTGTGTAACCTCCTAAGGCCACGTGAAGTGTTCAAACTTGACAATATTTTTCTTATGATCACGTAAACGCCCAATGTAGATATAATGAAAATATCACATACAAATTTAGCGCTAGATATTCTACATGACATATCTATACACCTTACACAATCTGAACATGTTTTCTTTTTGTTTTATAGATATAAATGCATAATCCATCGCAACAAAGTTATCATTAATTTTAAATTTAAAAGCCCACTACTAATTTTGTTCGTTTGTTTATAAGGCTTCAATAATTTATGTCATTGTGGATAACTACTTTGGCCTAAGTTATTTAAGACAAATATTGTTATTGAAGAATTATTGTTATTGAAGTTACTGAACCATGTAAAGTAATACCCCGCTTTGCGCGACCCCGCATTGCCCGATTTCGTTACAACGCGATTTTCAAAATTCGCGCTAAATTACTGTTGATTTACAACCCTCTACGGGTTCAAATTGGTTAAAATTCTCAGTTACTAAAAGTGCAATGTCAGAGGTAGTTCTTTCTTGATAGGCCCTTTAACTTGTACATTAGTACTGTCTGTTGTCCAGACAAAATAATTTTTTTTACGAACAATGACGCCACCGGCTAAGAAATAAGAGAGTCAAAGCTTGAGTTTGGAGACGAAGACAAAAATTTTAGAAAAGATGAGTTCGTTCGAATGGCACTTCCGTTACAATATTTAGCTTTTTATTCGATCATACCCAGTTATATCCCTGGTAGCAGTCGTTAGGTCAAGTTAGAGACCCTAGTCAAGTTACAGAGCTCTTATTAATAGATATTTGGTTAATTGTGTTTTACGGTGTTTATAAGTATAATATCATTGGTTTTACGCATCTAACTGATATTTCCCTAATATCTATCGACAATTTTCGTGTTTCGGCTGTCGTCGGATTTCTATCAGTTGCCCTTTGCATTAGGTGCAGATCGGACGTACTCTATTGACTTGGAAGTAGCTACTTCTCCTTATTTAGTTTTGATGGCCTCAAATGGCCCAATGGTTTGCACTATGGATACTGGATGAGGAGGTCCCGTGTTGGATTCCCGGTTGGACCAATTTGGGAAATTAACTTTTCTAAATTGGTTCTGGTCTGGGTGTGTCCGTTGCTCCGGTACTCATAGTACAGGAAATTTCCTAGTTTGAAACCTGGCAATTGGCGCGTTTACGAATTAGGCTAAATTTTAATTTTAGTATATTGTTAGGGAGTAAATGTTGTTTTACGGCTCCGTATATTTCACAAAATCAAAACAAAACAAGATTAAATTACGTAGTTCTGAATTCAAATTATTAAGATATAAACGGTATAGACATTGACTTACAATTATATGGACGTCGGGTCCGCGCTAAAAAGTGTCCGCACTTGTAAGGCGCTAAAATCGTATACAGAGCGCGACACTCCGCTTTAGTCTTCATTTGTTCTACGGACAGCGCGATACTGCGATGACATAACAATTTAAATTTCGAATAGGTTCACTTGGGACATTTTTTTCGTGGTTTTTGTATTTGACCCGTCGTCCATTTATTTGTAAGTCAATGGGTATAGATGATAAATGTGATAATTTCTAGATATGGAAATTTGTACTCGGGGGCAATCGGATATCCGAAGATTGTCGAGAGATTGATTACTAACCTAAGAACAATAACTGTTCTTAGTAACTAACACTTTTTTATCAACTAGTAATGAATTGAAAAGTGAGAAACGTAATTAATAATATGAAATCTATTTTCACTAAAATGTAATAAAAGTACAATTTGTTTTTACAACCTGTGATAAAAGGGCCCTCGCTGACATTGATTTTTAACGTTATTAGTATCTTAACATTGTACAGTGCCTCTACCACGAGTTTTTATTACTTCACAATGTTGTATTATACAACGCCCGTAGAGGTTACAAGAAGAAATAACATTTTGTACATAAACATTTTACGCGGTTGCTAGCGATAAATGTCACTGTAATCTCATGGTTGAGGCACTGTTGTCATTAACATCGACATATGGTTTGGAGTGTGTGCTGGCACATCGCGTTCAGTCTCGTATTGTATTATGGTCCTAATTACATTTATATAAGCCACGTGTTATCGTTCATCGTGTTGTGTGTATTTGAAAGGTGAAGGCTTTTATTCTAGGTGAAATGTTGATCATACCATGAATGTAACACTTAATATTGAAACACAGTTGCATCGGATGGTAAGAAGCCAGTTTACGTGAAATTTCACCCGTAAACACGGGAAGGTCTCTTTCAAAGAGGTTAAATATAATTTATAATTATAGTTTAAATAGAAGTTTATATTCACAACAAGTGTTGTAGTAAGACATTTCTTAGAAATGCCTAAGAAATTTATTACACTCTTTTGAAACAAATTGTCATATATATAGACCAGTCACAGCATGCCGTCGGGATAAAACTATTTTATCCACAATTAGCTGTCAAATTCGAATGATAAAATCGCCATTTTAAAAATTGAGTGCGACAAATGAGATAAACAGAAATATTATAATGAAACAGGTTGTTATATATTAATTATTGAAAAAAGTGGTAACATTTATAATACAGTTCTATACATGAGATTAATTTAAAATACGTAAACAATAACTAATGCAATGTAAAATTGTTTAGTAGGTGTTCTATGTTATTTTTCAGTGAAAATGTTGAGAGGATAAGAAGAACGAGTTCCCAGAGAATTATAAAATAAGCCAAGCTGATTTTTCTCCGACGTTTTCACAAATTGTGTATGGCTTTTGCAAATTTTGAAAGAATTGAGAAGTTTTCCGTCGTTTTTTATTATTTATGTATTGAGCTTTAGCTATAGAGCCATCAGTTTAAATTATAATCAATAATTAAGAAACTTACTACGTAATAAAACTTAAACTGCTGACAAAGAATGCGCAATTTCATGTCGTTGTCCTTGTTCATCAAAATGTATAACAATAGTCCATTATCAAATAAACAAATGAATGGATGAAACTACCGATTCAGTATTCACAATAAATGTATAATAAATTAATAGCAACATAGCTTTATTACTGCGATAAATATGTCGAGGAATATGTGAGGTTTATCACATATCGCATGGGATATACCGCCATGCTACGGCTGCAGTAGTTCGTAGATAAATTGTCAAAAACATCAGTTGGACATTTGTTAAAGTGTCATAAAAAGTGGAAACATTTTCATGATATTCTAATCGATCTATATATACGTATTTTGTAACCCAGAATATCAACGGCAAGCTCACTAGAGGATTTAGACTCTGACATAACAAATATGTGTTAATAGTGCAACTAATTGTCTTTGTGGTAAGCTTGGTATTGGTATCTTCAGTGTACACATACATCACAATGTCTGTGGCAATGTCATTGATTATATTGTCGTAATTGTCATTTATTTATTTTTTTGTAAATGGAACTGCTTATTTATGTACTGCCAACCTCATCATCGTTCTGCCACAAGGGTTGTACGTATGCTGTGATAATAATATCGTGTTTGTTGTTTTGTGGGTTTTCATTGCACGCACGGGTGTGGCGCACTATAGTAAGCACACACTAACAGCGATTTAGTGACGGTTCGCTTTTATAGAATATATGCTAGTCCCATGCTCTATGATTTCTGATACTTTAAAAGTTTAAGTCGCTACGAAAGCCTTGTTAATTATTACCAACAAGAGGTGCTGAAAAAAAATCCGATCAAAATTAGCACAAGTGGTCAGATTTGACTGTACTGTTAATAAGTTGTTGTTTTAGTTGATGCCAATCGTTCCCTTATGGAGTGTCAACGCACAAGAACTAGAGTGACGTTCAATTTTTTGTTATTATGTAGACTTTTATGGGATGGAGTTGACCATTGATTCATTAAGGCTGTAGCCCCTTATAAGCTAATAAGCTATTAAATACTCGATTTTGTAACTATTTACATAAAATATTATGATTTAGAGTTACCGCTCTAAGACATTATACAGTCTGTTCCAATCCATTTTGAACAAAAAGTAAATAAACCTGTTTGGTTAAAATTCTAAAGTAATCACTCAATCAATCGAATAAGTAGCACTTTCACGTATAACCATTGACTTACAAATAAATGGACGACGGGTCTAATACAAAAACCACGAAAAAAATGTCCCAAGTCAACCTATTCGAAATTTAAATTGTTATGTCATCGCAGTATCGCGCTGTCCGTAGAACAAATGAAGACTAAAGCGGAGTGTCGCGCTCTGTATACGATTTTAGCGCCTTACAAGTGCGGACACTTTTTAGCGCGGACCCGACGTCCATATAATTGTACGTCAATGCGTATAATTCGAAGATTTCGACTTGATATGTCATAACTTTTTCCAACAATATTCATTTGAATAGCTTCGTAAAATCGTATTTGAAAAATGGTATTCCAAAAGTGACGTTATAATTCATCTATACTTCTATGACTTGCCTATGGTTGCATAGTGCTGTTCGAAAAAAAACATTCGGTTCAATCAATTATAGTTTAGTAATAGATTATTAAATCGAACATTTTAATCGCAATCGATCGAGTATCTAAGTGTAAGGGTTTGAAGGAGGACTTAAATTGAAATTTTAAATATGCTTATATAGGTTATGTAAGGAAAACCGCTAGTATGACTCAATTAAATAAAACGATTCATTCTGTTAATTAATCGATTTGTAGTTGGCGTTACTATTGGCCACCACTAAACCGTCAATGATCGGGTCAGTGACTTTTTTGTTTACTTTTTGTTCAAAATGGATTGAAACGAATATGAATTATTCCTATTCCGGCACCGCTTATATTTTCCGTTGATTCGAGTCTCACGCGTTTCAAGAACAAACTGATTTGATTTTCGCGATTGTTAGACATTAGAAATAAAACTAGTTTTTCGGATCTAAATCAAGCTTTTTCAAACAAGCCAATGTTTACACCATGGGATCATGGTCACGGCTCTCTGAGATGGTAAAGTGGTTTGTTGTTGTAACAAACATAATATTACCGCAAATAATTGGTACAATACTATAATGAACAGAGGACACATACACTTTAATGGAAAATAGTTAGGTTTAGGCACAACAATGATCTTGGAAGAATCCGATACCCGTAAAAACTCTACAGGTTCTAAAACATTTCAGTGTGAATATCTCGAATTTTTATATACTTATATAGTTGTCTTGTTTTATTAAAACGAAACGTAGGAACTACTTTTGTTCCTTTTTTCATAAGGTCATCTAAATCATTCTTCAATCCTCTTGAAGCAAAATTTCATCATAAAATTTTGCTGAAACTTTCTGTAAAACCATAAAACTTGCTGGTTAAGTGGGAATTCGGTTACAAAATGCTTACTGGTGCGGTTTTTATGTAGAGCTTCCCAAATCTTCCGACAAAACGAAGTTTCGACTGCATTTACCTATTAACAAATGGACGTCGGGTTCGCGTTGAAATCAGATATTGAGCGTCAATCGCGCAACAGTCTACGTTTGTTCGACTGACAGCACGGTTGTCAATCATGGAGTGCTATATGATAATAACTACTGCGGTGTAGTGTAAAAAACAGGATTTTGTATCATATTTTCACTAAACAAATATATTGTGTTATAGTTATCATTTAAAATTTTCATTTATATATTTTTTTATATTTCATTAAATGTCACTACGTTGGTATAGGTTAACTTCGGACAATTTTTTCGTGGTTTTTGTATTAGACCCGTCATCCATTTGTTGGTAGGTCAATGTTCGACTGTCTTAAATCATGCAAAAAGGGATATCAATTGCTTAGTGTCTTCTCTCGTCACAGCGGACATTATTGCCTGTTTATTTTTTGTCTCATTAAGTGTATAAAAAGAGTTTAGTCCAAGGTAAAGTTAATTCTTAATCAAAAGCCGTAACTGGCTATTCAGTGTCTGGGGGTCTACTATCCGTTCTTAGTCCGACATCCGACCGAAACAATTACTGTCAGATAAGTAATTAAAAGACAATGTCATGTGTGAAGCTTCGTTCGCATCATGCGTATTGTTTCGGACGGAGGACGAGAGTACAAGGCCTTAAAGGATCTACTGTTACTCTTAAAGTTATGCAGACCATTCCGTTTTGTCTCCGGTTGATACACGCTGAATATAACTAAGTACGTGTGGAATCGGTATTGAGTACAATGTCCCATGTTTATTTTATTTCTTTTTAGCGATCTATATGTTCTTGTACCGCGGCTCTCCAAATGGAACGATCATTCGGATTAAAAGAGATGTCTTTGCATCCATAATAATAACAAAATAGGCGAGTATTTTAAAAAAATATACAGGATTATTTGTAAAATGCTAACAACCTCGCTGTAGGGCGCACATAGAAGCGCGAGATATTGCTATTATCTACAGGAGTATGGTAGTAGCTCTCGCGCAAGTCGCGCCCCATCGTGCTATCCCTACAGGACGATATTACTAAGACCATAAACAACAACTTTTGTTCCATAACTTTTAAAAATTCTTCGGATTTTACTTTCATAGACAACAAAAAATACTTTGATTTAAACTTTCTCGATTTTCACACGTTGTTTGATTTTTAATTCGGGACTTAATCATGTGTAAAACATATTTTAATCAGCTCAACGTTTCGAACGTATTGCAATGGTCCCTTCGAGACCTTGTTAAAAGTCCCTTCGCGAACTTCGAGACCTTGGACGTAGACAATTAAAATATGTTTTATACATGATTAAGTCCTGAACTAAAAATCAAATAAAAATAACAATCGTCGATCGCACTAAACGGTGATAAGTCTGTGCTAAACACGGGAGTCGTCGGAGAGGACACTTGCACTTTTTAAACTTACTACTTTACCACCAAATATCTAGAACGATCTAAAGTGTCAGATAGTACAAAAAAAAACTAAGAGCTTTATCATGGTTTGTCATAAGTCATGGTACAAAAGTTGTTGTTTATAATGTTAGTTATCTTGTCCTGTAAGGCCGTTAGTATTTTAACCTTTTGACCGCCGTGGACGCTTTAAAGAATCTTATATTAATTTGGCTGATACGTCAATGGCACCTTATAGCGTCAATGAAATGAAATTAATAAATAAATATTAAGACATTCCTTGGATTATTTATATATCCTAGTTAAGTATGGATTCATAGTTTCATTTTATGCTCAGTTATGTTCTTCTTTGGCTTAGGAAATTTGTTTTAATATAAGGTGGAAATTCATAACATGTCAAATCACAATAACACGAAACTAGTTTTTGTCAGTGGCTGTCAAAAGGTTAAAAATAACCCCGTATATGAATATCATGGTAGCAAAAACTGAATGATGTTTAATAAAATAAATATAGCAAAAAGACAAAGTTCGCGCATAAAACTGTCACTGAACCGCTATGCTTGATTCACCCGTCGCAATGAGACCTTACTAACACACGGCACGGTCGTAGACGAAAGCGGGGCGGTTGCAGAGTGGCGCTCCGGAGCAGGCCGCGGCGATGGCCTACCTCGAACTGGTGCTACGCTGCGCCACCTCCAGCGGTCTCCTCAAAGCTGTGCTCCACTTCCTCATGCAGTACGAGTACGACGGAGTGCGTGTCATCGACGTTCTACTCGCGAGACTTGACGGCGATTCACAGGTGAGATACAATTACAACTTTTTTATAAAAAAAAAAACGACGTCAAAAGTTCGTGGCATTGTATCTATTTGCCAAAGTTCTTTTTTTTTAAGGAAATCGGTTATCGGAAATTATGTGAAACCAAATTCATCCCCTAATTAGCCACCCTTAGAGGTGGAATATTATTTATTTTCTCCAAATTTAAATGTTACCAGTACTGAAACTTTCCTATAAAAAAAAGAATAATAAAAAAATACAGTCGAATTGAAAAACCGAGAAATATAATAACGCACACACTCCATAGCCCCGCACTAGGGAAACCCTGTGTCGCGGGTGCCATGGACACACACATAGACGACCACAAATTACACCCAAACTCACGAGAGAAATAAATGTAGGCCATACTAATATTTCTCCCGACCCGGGAATCGAACCTGGGACCTCCGCGTGGCAGTCCGGCATGGTAATCGTTCGACCACAGAGGCAGTATGTAAGTTAATATGTTTAAACAATGAATACGGTTTCGTTATTTTGAGATCACCAATCTGCTTAGTGAAAATAATCAATTCAGCATCACAAATTTAATTGGTGAAAAAAAAAGACATTATTTAGGTTGAATTAGTTAACAATTTCGGCTCTCCGCTTTGGAGAATAATGAACGATGATGTATATTTAAGAGTTAAGTTCGTCAAATTCAGTATTGAGTTTTAATCCTGAAATAAATTCATTCACGTTTAATAATTATACTACTTCTTTCATATACTTTCTGTGTTTTCAGCTATCTCTCGTGTCTCTGGCATTAATGGACACGCTAATCAACCTGAACTGTGAAGACGTTATGATAGAGCTTGTATACAAGTACCTACTGAGCGGGCACCATCTTATGGTGAACCATCGTAACCAAGTCGCCGAGCCCGAACCCTACAGAGAAGCTGCTGTTGCGTTCCTTGGTCTCTCGCCACGATGTTGCTCGCGACCTCTAGACAAAACCATAGAATGGGTAGAAGAACTCGCCCTCAGCGGCAGAAGAATACTTGATTTAAAAAGAGACGACGATAACAGGAGATTGAACGGTGTTTACGGCGACATCGCTATGAACAATCTAGTCCAGGAGGTTAAATTCAATTATGGGGTAATTAAATTACTTATACGGACATATACGAACTCACTGTTTAACTTGCTTATATACTATCTCTTTCTGTCTGCCTTTTTTGAAGACGGAGTAAAATGACCTTTGCAAGATTCTCAGTTTTCGTACAATTTTAAATAGTTATGCAGTTATTGTCGAAGTAACCTATCACAAACTGGAATTTATTTTTTCCGAAATGACGTTTGTTCAAATTTTCACTACCCCGAAAACCGAATTATAGCGAAACCGTTGCTCTTTCAGGATATGTTGGATGTTTATCGCAAAGACACGATTAGGTTCGGATAGGTTAGGTTAAGTTAAGAAAATGACATTTCGGACTTCTGATAGGTAACCTGTTGTCTACAGTTTCATTGATAGATTTTGTGAATGTTACGACATTCTAATGATTACTATTTGTGTTATTGCCTTGCTTATTCTTATTTTGACAGTTTTTTTACTAGTATCAAAATCAACTTTTTTCATATACATAGTAAGGACCCGCGAATTTGATCTATATTTAATTAAAGTGCAAAACTTTAAAATATGTCTCCTCTTTGTATTTTTCATAGACATAGTTCTAAACGCAGTGTATGTATGAACTTGCAAAAATTTACAATTCAAATGAACCTGTGTTCAGCAGTTGCACTAATAATTGGCCGATGATGATTTAAATGACACAAGTTTAGCTCCAACATTCAATCGATAGTCGAATATTTATCGACTGCAATCACTAGCTATTCCAAGCGGGCAACACTTGCGGTAACGAACAAATGTCATTTTACTCCATGTTCAAAAAAGACAGACTATAGACCCTTTAAACAGCACAACAACAACCTGCAGAACTCTTGGACGCCCTCCACAATGAGTGTGGAATAAATTCCTCATTCTCATTTCAGAATCCGAACGACACGCTATTCGGCAACTACCACGCGTATCTCTGTGACGCAAGGTTCGAAATTGTCTCACGAACGCTCGCGTGTGCTAACTGGAGCTCTAAATACGACAGCGTTACCACACCCAAAAAGGAGACCAACAACAACACAAAGGAAACGAAAGAGACAGACGCGCATAACGCTGGGAAAGAGCAAGACAGCCTTATATCTGTTTGCACCAGCGGCTACGATACTCTGAAGACTAGTGACACTTCAGAAAAAGAACCGTCAAGCTTAACGTCGTTGAACGAAAATGGAGAAACCGAAAAAGGGACGAACGACCATCAGAACAGTGACAGCAAACACGATAGTTTGACGTCTGTAGGAGAAAGTAGTGGCTATGATAGTTTTAGGTACAAAACGGAGGAAGGAGAAGATTCTGAGGCGTTCGCGGAGGAGGCTTTTAAGAGAAGTATCGGGAAACCAGAGCGTGCAAGAGAGTATGACGAAGTGCCTTTGGTCAGGAGCTGGAGAGCGAGCGCTGAATCAATAATCGGTAAAGTATTAACTAGAAACAAAATCAGCAATTAAATAAAACAAAAACAAAGAGACGTCTAGTTTTGATTCATTTGTTTCAAAATATCGCACACCGACTTCAATGAAACAACTCAAAAATGGCAAACGTGACAAATAACAATGCCACGGGAATGTTTCGAATAAATATTTGAACGACACATTGTCAAAAGAGTGCTTACTGATATAATGACCGTGAGCGCCCAGTTACACGAGAAGTTTTCGCGCGGCGACTGCCCAGTTACCACGCCTTCATGTACGTTAATGGCGAATCTGAATTATATTTATTATGCAACAACATTACAATTCCTCTCAATAAAATTACCGCACGGCCGCCGCGTAGACAAAGTTCAAGGCAGGCCAGCCCGCGTGCCCGGAACGATCATTTAAATTAAAACGTAAAAGCTAAACAAATAGAGCGTATTTTGCCATGACAGTTAGACGCACGCGGTCGCTGCGCGGAGGCAACGCGGATTCGCGTCCAATAAATGCGCCCTTATTATAATTTTGCGTCATTTTTATTTTCTCAAAAGCAGGCAAAAAATTATGGATTTTGACAATGTGACACCGTTTAAGCCGGTCTGCTATATTTGTGTACTATTTATACATAGCACTGTTAACTCAATAAGTGTATTTTCTTTCAGAGTCTGAAAAATTAATCACTCTCTTTCCGTGGAAATAAAAAAAATTATATGTGGCCTAAAGTTTATTACAGATACCTAAACAATTTCCTACTATATTTAAAAATAAACGGGAAAAAATAATTTCTTTTTTTGTGTAGGAGGACTGTTGTCCAGAATTAGCTCACATGAAGTATGTATCTTCTTGAGTTGAGTAGATATATTTTAATTATTTCTTACAATATTTGAACGACGTTTTCGTTGGCGTGTAGAGAATCAAATTTTACGTTCAGTAATAGTTATAATCTTGAATTTCGTGTATTTTGAGTTGCAGTATATTATAATGACCAAAAATTAGTCACATAAACATATTGAATGTACATTACATTAAGAGCCTATGCACACTGTGTAATAGTATACACGCCGATGACGCGCGTTTACGGCGGCACGGTAAACGCGATGTAATCGCGCATTTTGTTAAGAGATAGTTTCAATTTTAGTTTTGTTTGTTAATTTCAGTTAGTATCTTTTGAAATGAAGCAAGTATATGAAATTTGAAGTGTAAACTCCAATGTAGTATGTAAGTTTTTTGCTTGCTACGCGATGTTTGCGCGCGTTTGAATCGATTCACTACAGCACGTCTGCGGCGCGTATACTTGAAAGTGTTGATGTGTCCGATTTATTTGAAAAAAGTAACATTTACAATTGATCAATTATATCTCTCTCTCTCGAGGATCAAATAATATTGTCCCAAAGTCATTATTAAAAGTCATGGAACGTAAGTTGTTTATGGTGTCAGTAACACGGTTTTGCGAGGTTGTTAGTATTTGACGAATAATCCTGTATAAGTCTATGATATTCCAATCAGGCCCACTGCTCAGTAGTCTTCTGAAGAAAGCAGCGGGGTTGCTCGAGGCGGAGGTGAGTGTGAATGGACGTGTGACTTGCGCTCTCAGCCGCCTCGCCGCGCTGCCTACGCCGCTACTAGCTTCGATGCTGCTCTGCCCCGGTTTCGTGCTGCAACCAAACGTGCCTTCCCTATTCCAGGTAACTATCGAACCCTCTACTGAGTATGGGCCCTCACGTAATGATCCGAAAAGATTGTGGTACATAAGCCCTGCTTGTAATATCCGACCTCGGTGGCACTCAACGGTTTGCACTGGGCGCTTGATGCGGAGGTCCCGGGTTCGATTCCCGGTAGGACAAATTTGGGAAGTGAATTCCGTTATTCTGGTCCTGATAGTACATGGAAATTCCTCGTTTAGGGCTATCTTTCGTATTGCTGTTGTTATTGTTACATAACGTTTTTAACCCATTCACGGACAGTGTTATAGTTCCGCACACAAAAATATCACTACTTTTTTTGTGCTGTAGTGCTTATGGTGATTCAATATTAAACTTCCAATATAAATCACTGAATTTTATCAGTACGTTCTTGTTGATATTTCTCTGTTGAAAAGCAGTAGGCGGCAATTACACAGAAAGCACTTGGAAATCGCCGTATAAAGGTGGTTTTCCATCGGCGAGGCGAGACGAGAATTGAAATCTCGCCGGCATATTTTCACCAAAAATTACCATTAATAGCTCGCGACAGCTTGCGCTGTGGTTATTATTGACGATTCGGTGCTGTTCAGTTCGTCCAACGATAAACACGCGGCTGAAGTAACATGTCACGTAAACGATTATTATTGAATATGTTAACTGAAGAAGAATCAGTTGAAACCATCTTTTTTAAAAATCTAAAATCGTACGGACCCCGCAATCTCGCGATTGGTATTAATAGAAATCGTGTTTACGTTGCAAAGTATAATAATCTATGCAGGCAGCAGTACGTTTCAATATTCTTCAACATCTTCTGTTATTCCACGTTTTAAGCAAATAAACTAACTCTCTCTAGCAAAAAGTCTCTAGCAAATGCAGTGTAATGAATAATAACCTTTGCACATTGTCATGAAAATTAATGAATTTATGAACAAAAAAATTCTTTCCTGCTCATTTCTCACAAATAAACATTGATTTGGTGTTATTTTTATTTTTATTTAATGTATTTACTTAAACAAAAGCTATTTTATATTCATTTAAAAGCGAGGTTTATTAAAACAATTTGTGAAATACGTAAATTAGTACACGTTGTTACAAAGTTATATTTTTGAGATTTTCATCCTGGATTATTTTTAGTATAGAATTCATTCGACTCATCATATTTATATAGATGTAAAACCAGGTTAGCTCTCACCACGCTATTATACTGTTACAGATTTTAAGCAAATTGAAAGAAGAAGTGGACGAGGTGACGAGCGGGTTGAACAACGCGGGGGAACTGGTGGACATGGCGCGCGTGTTCCTCATACAACGCGAAATATTGCTTGTCAAATCCCGAGGACCCCCCAATGATGATGGTTCGCATGTTCAATTACAAATTACGTTTCGACACCAGCAATTAACACTACGCCAACTTTCCACCAAAGCCTATAAATATTAGATAACATTACATACGTTGCTCTGATCCCAAAGTAACTGAAGCACTTGTATTATGGAAATCTATAGTAGCAGTAAAGCTCCTTGTGAAAGAGTTCTAAGGAAGTACTGCCACCTTTCCTATTTCTGCCACCAAGCAGTAGTGTGAGCATTACTGCGTTCCAGTTTTGAAGGGTACAAGTGCTGGTGAAATTACAGGGACATGGGACTTGTCAACTTATGTTTTAGGGTGACTAGCGCAGCGGCAGATCCTTTCCGATCTCTGCGGTTTAAATCTCGCGTGTGGCACTGCACCTGTTAAGGACAGGCGTGTAGCTCAGGCGTACGATTGTTCGCCCCGTCACTTGATATTATTATATTGAAAAAAAATGGCCTGAAACAATATAGAAAAATTTGTTTTCTACATTGACCCGGCCAGGGATCAAACCCGGGATCTCAGAGATGGCGACACCATGAAACGATGTGAAAGCCACTCGGCCAAGGATATCGTCGAATATAAAAGGGAAATTTTATTTTCAAACATGATCACAATATAAATTGAGCCTTAGGCTACAACGTTACACATGTGTGGTGCAAACACAGGCGCGGGTAGAGATCAAGGCGAGTCTGCAGTGGCGCGACCCGAAGAATCTCCATTCCGACGTGTCGAGGCAAAACGCCGCAGCATCTCCTCGAGCATATCCAACATGTTCAGCCGACGACTCTCCTCTTGTAAGTACCGACTCACACCCACCCGTTAACCCGTTAACAACCTATTATACATTCGTTGTGAATAAACAATGAACATCGAGTTAACTCGAAAACTACGAATACTTTGATGTCAGACATTGACTAATAAAGTTTCATATTTCATTGTCAGCATCAATCAATAAATTAAAATTATTTTCTCGCTGCAGACTCGGCCACGAATTATCGGAGAGGGATAGCGATATTGCGCTCTCTCCCACTTACCAATAGGGTACGAGCAGGGCCCGCTCATACTCGTAATCTTTTGTGATACATTTTATCAATATATATGACGTTTAATTTTGTTGTAAACGTTAATTGTGCAACGAATTGACTAAAGACTTACTATAACATAACTTAAAGTAATTAATGAAAAAGAAAAAAATCTTAATAGTTTATTTATTTAATCTAACCTATTTAGTGTATTGTTTTTAAATGAGAAACTGATATATTTAACGCCTTTACAAATATAAGTAAAAATGTTTCTGTTACCTCTGCGTCGTTGTTATTTCCACGACAACTAGTAAGTAACATTGTTTTTAAAAAATACCGCCCCACCTACAGCAAATGGACTGTTTTATTAAGACCTTCAGTAAACTCATAATTATTTTCTCAGTTCAGAGTGATAAGACTCTGGTGTACATAATAAATATGTTATAATTATAACTGACTAATAACATTAAATGTGGAATCCGTTGTGAGAGACTGGCAGCGAGAAAATAATCTTACTTACTATTGTAATACGATATCTTAAAACTAAAAACTTTCGAAATTCGTGGTACAAGTTTCCCCGTTGTTAAAATATGATGATTCATATGTACAAATCCTCTGGTGTTAGGTTATACTGACTGTTGTCGATAGTGACAGCGTAAAATATTTGACAATATTACGTAGCAAATTTTGTATGTGAGAGGTGAGACACAAAGAACCTTAGGCCAAATAGTAATTTTTACTACAGAGCATTTTAATGAGAACGAGGCTCTTAACTAGGTAAAATCAATCTTAAAGTCAAATAAAAAGCAAAAGACAATAGGACTTGATGTCTTTTACCATTGCATGATTTTTAGCATTTTACAGCACCACTTACCTTCACAATAGTACAGCGCAATAGCATAAAGGGAAGTACCATTTGGTATAGATTTTTTTTTAGCGACAACTGTAAGAGCTATAGGCGTATATACTGTACTGAATCGATTCAAACGTGCGCAAAAATCACGTTTGCAAGCAAGAAGTTTATATGCTCTACTGGAGTTTACACTTAAAATTTCATGTAGTTGCTTCATTTAAAAAAACTAACTGAAATTAACAAACAAAACTAAAATTAAAACTATCTTTTATCAAAATGCGCGTCGTCGGCGCGTATAAAATACGCCGTGTGCAAAGGCTTTAAATGTAGACTCGTAGAGGTACTGTACTTCTGTAGTCTTTATCTACCAATTTACCTGACTACCAAACTTTACAGCATCGCCGTCGCCGCACAATTCTCTGAATGTACAAAGCACAAGTCAACACCCGAGCCCACAAAGGCGTCTAATATTCACACAAGAAGCCTATTGGAATCAGTCCATCACTCTACGTTCCATATTGAACGCCGTAATTCTCGACGAATGGATTAAGGAGTTGGCTGCTTTATGCGAAGAGCACGCTCTTCGTCTCTCTGCTGATAACTACGAAGACGATACATATATACGAATGGTAGCCTTATGACTGAGGGCTAAATGCCACCGCGGGCGCACACACTTTACGACTCACGTCTCCGAACGGTCTCTAGACACTTTCGTCTAAATATTAATCTATTCTTATGACCGTTGCCTTCAACTTGTACATAGTTTTACAAATAAGCTAAGGAGAATACTATTAATAACAAAAGAACCACGAGTGGAAATAATGTAATGTAATTTCTATTTGCGTAAATATCTAAAGGCAGCTTCCTACGGGCCGTGTAAAGTTTCTTGAAAACGCATCGTGAAAAGAGGACCGCCCGAGTGCGCCCGCGCTCGCCCGTGGCGGCCTGTATCGGATCCGCCGCTGGTCGGTAGGTTACCTATCAGTAGTCCGAAATGACATTTTCCAGAAATAACGCTTGTTCGAATTTTCATAACCTCGAAAGTTATTTTGAGAGGAAAATGTTTTTTTCTTTTTAACCTAACCTTACCGAACCTAATCGTGCCTTTGCGATAAACATTCAACATATCCTGAAAGAACAACTGTTTCGTTATAATTCGGTTTTCGGTGTAATGAAAATTCGAACAAACGTTAATTTGGACAAAAAAATTTCGACTTTGTGATGGGTTACCGGTAACTTCAAAGGCGCGACCCGAGAAGCAAATCCGAATACGCGCCGCGACTCGCGTCGGCCCGAGTCCGCCCGGACTCGCCCCTTTTGCGAACTCGCCCATACCAATCGACGCGTTTGACGTCACGGGCCGTGGGAACGCTTCATAAGAAAGTTCACCCTGGAGTGCAGTGCAGAAGCAATAAGAGAAATTTTGAACGCGATATTTGGGATCGTCTGTCGACCCAACGGTAGAATAAACAGTCGTGGTTTTTTCCAACGACTCGATACCTCTAACTTTATAGTTTAAATTACAATAAAATATTATTAAAAAGATTGCCATGATTGTAATTTTAAACTGTGATTTGTACAATGTTCAAAAACATTTTGCATAAATTATTTATTGACCGCAACCCTAATGGACTTTTAAATTAACAAGAACTTACGCTGACAAACAAATGTGTTAAAAAAGTAGAAGTGACATTTTGGGGAAATTTTAGGGAGTGTTCAGAGTTGAGGCGATATTCTAAAATTGCTTTGGATCCTACTCCTGTATATAACACCCTGAAATCACAAAAGTACAAAAAATATTAAATACGCAGCTCCTATATTTTTATACTTAAAAATATAATTAAAAATCTATAGATAGAGCTAGACCAAGTATTATTAGAAATAGTAAAACTATTTTTGTACTTTCCTGTGTACGTTTCCCTCGGAATCATTCCCTAAAATTACATTTTTACTTTATATCTGATAGATCTATTAATTTGAAGGTGGCATTTTTTAATAACTGCAATAAAAATATATATATTTTTTGCTAAATTTTTATAAACAGGACTTGGAATGCGAAACTCCTTCCGATAGTCAAATGTCAATGTAAATAAAATAATTATTTTTAATATAAATAAATGAATAAATATATGCAATAAGTAATAATTAATACGTGTTGATTGCAGTTCGTGTTTGTGACAGTTTCAAAACTTGTTATACCAATAATGTTTTAACTTATCGCGGTATATGTTTTAAATTTGTTGTATGCTGTTTTATGCAATTTAATAAAGAATAATAGTAACAGATGACATAAATATTGTTGTTTTAGAACAATAGTACTGAACCAACAAGCTCTACTTTTCTTTTCTTTTTTTTTTTGTAAAGCCGTCATGCGTTTTCTACTTAAATATTTGTGTGATATAATTTATCCTGAAGATGCATTTGCGCAAATATAAAAATGTTGGAGCCAAAATGTCACCTGATTTTTTTATTCTTTAGATTTTTCATACAATATTTGTTAGGCTCATTTTTGTTTTTATTTTTAAATAATTCCCACTACAATCGATTGAATATAAAATTGATCATACCACATTAATATTTTAGTTGAAATCAGTAAAGATAAAGATTGGACGTACGTGCAAAAACCATTGTCAACAAACTCCGTTAAAGATTGTTTGTTCCATACTATAATTGTCTAAATATTATCTATGACCTTTTTATAATAAACTTGAATCACTGGAATGCATATTTGATGAGTTTACTAACGACTACGCCTTAATATATGCATGCATATCGAGTTCTTAGTTTTTCGCGATTGTTACACTTAGGAAATGAAACTATTTTTCCGGATTTAAATTGCGTTTGTTTCTTTTTTCATGGAGTCCACCGTGACTACGGAACCTGTAAAGGGCTCGAAATATTGGTTCGTTCGAATACGCGATTTAAATCCGGAAAAATAGTTTCATTTCCTATATGCATACTTGCTAACACATAAATTGTAACCATACATTGTAACATAATTTTGTATGTTGTATGTGATTTTATTCTTGTATCTGATTTAATGCACGTATCGCCCGCCACAACTGGCAAGTTTTAGTACCGATATCATTTTACCTGTATCAAATTTTATAATCATACTTGTTATCTTAAATCATTTTACAATTCTTTATTTTATTAACAGACTATATTTTCTTAGTGATTTGTTTTATGTTTTATAGAAAAAAAATTTACTACTTGTAATAATATTTTTTTGAATACTAATACTTTAGATTTTATTTGTATTTTTTGCAGAATGTTATTTTCGTATAACGATTAATTAATTTTGTGTTTTGTAGTGTGGAACACATTTTTGTTTAAAGTTTTATTTTATTTCTGGACATTGAAAAATTATTCTCGTATTTTATGATGGATGACTTGCAAAGGCTTGCTCAAATTTCGTCCTTCTGTAATTTAAGTGCAATTTTGCCGTCCATGGAAAGCTACTGGTAGTTTTGTACTGGAAGGACTAACGAGAATCAGTATAAAAAAATTAACGTCATATTTTGTATTCAAACGCTTAAGTATCCTTAGCCAAGGAAACAACAAGTAACAACCGCTATGTTGCTCTTTGATACGACCTAACAGGTTGTATCATTGAAAGACTGCTGAGTTGTTGCTACGGTAATTATGGAACAAGTTTAATCTAGACGAGCGTCATTAGATTAAACTATTTCGAAAACACGAACAATGTGCAAATGGAACAAATTATTCGGTTTCAAGGTGCCACAGTATATGTACATATTTTCATGTTAATTCGTAACGTCCCATAACGTTAAAAAATTGCTTTTGATAAAAGTATTTCAAAAACTACTTTATAGTCAATTAAGAGAATAACGAAAAGGTTAATAAAAGTGCTATGTCATCATCATTACTACATAATGTCGATTTAATGTTGTTTCCAGTGATATGTACATACATTAATTAACCCTTAATTTTTATTAATATTTTATTTGCACAATTTCAGTCCAGATCTCTACGTTTTGTGAACGTTTTACTAATGAGAATTTTATTAAAGAAATTAGAATTGACGGAATGTTTCATTTTTATTTACTTTATCACCATTTAAGTTTTAGCTTGATAACGTGACTTTGAGAATAAAAAACTAGTAATTACAAAAGAAAAATGGCCAGTCAATTAGTTGTTAGCTTTCTTGGTCGTATTCTAGTTTTTAGGTTTACTTTACTCAATGCCTAAGTCAGGATTGCAATGGAAACACAAGCACTGGAAATACGACCCTAATGGCAGGGACTTGAGTATGATTTCGAGTGCTTTAAACCATACTCAAATCCTGACTTGAGCATTGAGTAGAGTTCTAGAATACGACCCTAAGATCATGTGGAGCATACTAAGTCAGCTTGTCGCTGTAAATGAACTTGAAATTTAATAAAAGATATATTTAGGTGCTTCATAATTTCTACTGAGTGTGATGTATGGCCCAAATGCAACTGTGTACTTGCACTCAATTTTGAGCGCAATGGTGCATTTCGGTATAGCGAAATGTTAAAAATCCGCTCTGTTATTTAGATCTTTTCTGGACACTGTATACTTAAAATCTGGTCATTTAATTTAATACAAAGATAGAATAAGAAATTGCATGAGTACCTATATAAGAAAATAAAAATCAATTCAGGGAGTTCATAATCATCACTGAAGACGAGGCAGTATAACCTTAGATCTTTGCTTTTCATTTATGAACGAATAAAACAAAAAAAATAATTTCAGAACGAAGTTTCACTCTACCACCTCAAACGTATGGCGCCCCGTAAACGATCAAATAATTTGTAAAATTTATCCTTCAAACTTCACATTTTCTTCAAACAATTTTGACAAACTTGCGTGTACATAGTTCACACACGGTTATCTCTTTCTCCAGTCGTGCGTACGTACGTATATACATACCATAGTGTTCTGTGGTATGTACCATACTATTATTAATACAATGGGTCATATTATCTCTTTGTAATTTGTGAAATGAGATAGCTATTGCGTAATAGATAAAGCGTTTCTGGCGTTAACTTTAGCACTATGTATAAGAAAAAAGAAATATAAGTTGGTATAGAGAATGGTTGAAATTACAGAGAAAAACCTAATCACGAAAATTTGTTTTAGGAAATGTTGTGCACAGAACCAGACGACTATATGGAATCTAGCAAGGTGAACGCACAAGTAATAACTGAAGTTTGGTTCGACAAAAATCCATACCTTCAAACGTGTTTATCAAACACACCGTCAATCTAGATTTAAATCAACCACTTATCAAACATTGTTTGACAAACGCATCAAACACGACCGCAGACGATTGAAACAAAAAGTTTGACTACGAGATATTACGCACTCAGTGACTCAATTTTCCACAGAGTACTTATTTATTATGGTCAATTTTCCCAAGTTTCATATAAGTGTACATTACGGGCATTGACTTACATTGTAAGTCAATAATTACGGGTTTCAGTTTTTGTTGAGTTTAGGTTGTATTTAGATATCATCGTAATTAAATAAGAATTCTTATGTGGCCAAGTCACCAATACAATAAATAATGTCGTCTTTCGTAAATCATAGGAACGAGAGCTCGTTGAGTGTTGACGAAGCGTGTACAAAGGACAATGTTACTTATTACAAGATTACAGTTAAGGTGGGCGCCGTGTACTGGATCGTGTGGCATCGGTACAGTGACTTTGTCGACCTGCATGATAGGCTGGTCACCGACCACGGCGTGGCTAAAGATCTGCTTCCGCCAAAGAAGGTCATCAGGAATAAAACACCAAAGTTTGTGGAGCAGAGACGTGAAGCTCTTAACGAGTACCTCAAGAGCGTGTTCAATTATTTGACGCTGACGATGCCGTACGAGTTCGCGCACTTCCTTGATTTTCATTTGTATGATATTTTCTTCCTGTTGCAAGATTTGGCAAAAAAACTTTTCCTAGAAGGAGATAAAATGCTGCAAAACGAAAAGTCACACAGGTTCACGCCGATGGAGGTGAGTCCTTGAGTACAATATTATTGTGCAACAAATGTAGCAAAATTCCGCTAGTTTATTCTGTACCTCAGCTGGAAGAGCGTCAGGCATGGTATGCTGATGGCACTGATTCCAATTCATCCAGATTGAAGGGATTTTCTTTGTATTAATTAAAGATTATATTTTAATGTTTTACTAAAAAAATTTACATTTGATATTAAATATTAAAAGTTGTAAACAGGCAAGTGAAATTACTGCTTGCTCGGTATGCACTGCTTTGGTACTTGGTACTTGGTGTAACGGGCTGGTGTCCGCAACTCGACGTCAAGGCGCCTACTTTGCGTGTGGTATGCACTGCTTTATTCACACTGTCTTTTTATCTTAGATGCAGGCACATAATGTATGCATACCCACTACAAATATAACAGTTAGTAAAAATAAAAAAGAAGAGGAACTGAAAACTGTGAAAGGGGTTCACTTTTGTGACACATGACTACTTTATGCCAACATCAAAGTAAAGGATTAGGAAATGGATGGGATGAAAACCAGAAAGGAAATATTTTAGGGCCCCATGGTGTTATTGTCATTTCAAATTAAAAGCCTTTATTATTCCCATTGACTTACAAATAAATGGACGATGGGTCTAATACAAAAACCACGAAAAAAATGTCCCAAGTCAACCTATTTAAACGTAGTGACATGTCAAGGAATATGAAAAAGCTAAAACGTTGAATTTAAATTGTAATGTCATCACAGTACTGTCTAATTTTGCTTGCTTCGCTGTCAGTTGAACAAACGAAGACTAAAGCGTGAATGACGCTCTGTATACGATTTTAACGCCCTATAAGTTCGGACACTTTTTAGCACGGACCCGACGTCCATATAATTGTAAGTCAATGATTATTTCTTAATTAATTAACATAGTTTTCAGTAAATTCAGTTTTAAATATCATTGAAGTTACAATATAATGTAGATTTAGAAAATATATAATTTTATTTATATATTTATTATTATTTTAGATTAAGGACCCCATGTTGGGTATAGGCCTCTTCCAACTTCTTCCACTTAACTTTATCCTTTACTACTTCTATCCAGTGTGGTCCTGCTGTTGACAGGATGTCATCTCCCCATCTGCTCCTTGGTCTTCCTATTTTTCTTTTACCGTTTGGACCATTCCATTTTATGTTGGTGTCAGTCCATCTGCTGTCTGTTAATCTGGCTATGTGTCCCCCCATTGCCATTTTTGTTTCTTGTCATATTGTAGGGAATTTCATATCTGTGATTTTGGCTCTGGATCTTATTGTTTTGCTATTACTCTTGTTGTTTCTTCTTATTTTCAAGATATTTCTTTCCATACCTCTTTGTATTTTTCTTAAGTTTAGCTTTGTTAGTAAGCCCATGTCTGACAGCCACAAGTCAAACTAGGTAGGATGCATGTGTCTATTACAGTTTTTTCAACATTAGGTTGAAGTCTCCTTTTAATATTTCTTTGTGGTTCCAGAAGTTTTTCCAGGACATGGAAAATTATTCTACATTCTATATTTCTTCCCAAATATAGTGATCCACATTTTCAATTTTCTTCTTTCTCAATTACTACTTTAGGTGTAATGCTATTTGTAATGATTTTTGTTTTTGAATAGTTCATTTCCAGTCCTACTTTTTTGCTTTCTGTATTGAGACTATTGAGCATTCATTTCAGGCCTTCTATGTTTTCTGAGAACAATTACTATATCATCAGCGAATCTGAGTTGTGTAAGGTAATTTTTATTTACTTTGATGCCTTCTTTTTTCCTGTTCAGTGCCTGAAATATGTCCTGAAGTACTGCAATAAACAGTTTTGGTGATAATGGGTCTCCCTGTCTTACACCCCTGTTGATGGGGAATTCTTTTCCCTCAGTTTGTAATCTTACTCAGCTCATGCTATTGTTATATATCTCTTTTAAGGTGTTAATATGTTTGGTGGGTATCTTGCAGTGTTGCGGCTTTCCATATGGAGCTGTGGGAGATGCTGTCGAAGGCCTTTGTATAGTCAATGAAGGCTAAATAGAGAGGTTTATTAAATTCTTTATATTTCTCTATTATTTGTTCCACTGTTTGCGTGTGGTCGGTGGTTGAGAAGTCTGATCTAAAATCTGCTTGTTCTATAGGTTGGTGCTTATCTATCTATTCAGTTATACTACTGAGGAGCAGTGAAGTAAAGGCTTTGTATAAGCTCGATAGGATAGTTGGCAATATTGAGCAGATCTCCTTTTTTGTAAATTAGTATAATGTCTTAGGTATTTTTTCTGAGTCTAAAGTACAGTTGAATAAAATTGTAAATGGTGTAGTTAGAACTTTAGATGCTGATTTTAATAGTTCGTTGCTTATACCATCAGTTTGGCCTTCAGCTCTTTTCTTATATCCATTACTACTTTAGGGTAGTTTTAGTCACATTGTATGTTGTTCGGAAAATATTTGTTGTTCTTCAGTACTTCGACTTTCCTCCATGCTAGGGTTAGAGATACGAGTATTGGTCTTGATCTTTTACTGCTGATTTTTTACCTAACCTTTGTGTGCTGCTGATTTCCCATTCGTCGAACTCTCTGAATCTTACTTTCTCGCTTATTTTATTCAGTGTCTCTAAGACCAATGTTATTAGTTCACTATTGTTGGATTCAGATTCTTTAACACCATGAAGTATTAGATTATTTCTTCTGACAGCCCTTTCCAGTCTGTACATTTTTGTTTTTAGAGTATCTATCTCTTTCTTGAGTGTCCTGTTTTGTTCGATAATTGGAGCTATTTTTTCTTCAATGGTTTTAGATAGTGAACTCGTCAGGTGATCAGATTTTTTCTGCAACTCTGCTCTAAGTATCTCCAATGATAGTTGGGTCAATGTAATTCTGTTTGCGATCAAGCTCCAGCAACGAAAAAAAATATTGTCATTTACCTATTATGTTACTTTAAATTTAAAAAATAAGGTAAATACATGGAACAAACAACTCCGAACTGTAATTAGTGGTTATCACAATAGATCAATCAATGGATGGAGTGATGAGAGGCCGCATATGCCCCGAATAAAGCCACATAATAATAATAAATTAATCTTTTTAGCCTTGGGAGAGGCGAGTCTAAAATAGGTATAATAATAATAATAAGGTAAACACAGATCTAGAAAGACGACCTTATTCCTGATCACATGATTACATCTAATAAGGGTATCGCCACATTTATCGACACAGAATCGTACTAAGACAGAAAAAGTTATATGTACATGCAATAAAAGCGCCAAAGACGTAGTGCATGCGGCGGTCCGAGCGGCAATGAAATGCCCAACCATTTTTTCACTCTTATTGCATGTGGACATAAAGCTGACCAGCTTAGTGCGACTCTGTCTATAAGTGTGGTGACTCCCTACCTGTAACAGTATGGAAAGTGGCACAAACTAAGTCAATAACATCAGTTGTAACTCTTAACTAACGGGGCTGATCCCGAGTAGGTGGCGCCACGGGTAAATACAACTCTAAGTTCTCTCTTAAGTTACCATGTTAATACTCTTTTTATATTCCTTATCTATTATGTTTATTATATGTAATGAGTTAAAAATTATTAAAATTTTCCAGCTTCACGCAATAAGTGAACGTCTAAAAATTGCATGTCCACCGAGTGAGAAGGAGGATCAAATGTATGACTTTAGCCATGTACTGGACTTCTGCTCTCAGCTGCGAGCACTCAATGTTGAAGGCAGTTATGAGAAGCTTGGGACCAGCAACATAGTGCCCAACGAACTGCATTTTGACCTAGTGTCCTTTAAGAATTTGGTAAACTTGAAAATTTTGGGTGTTCCCATGGCATGCATACAGAGTGTTGGTGAGTACACTTGAAATAGTAATTTTTTTTAGTATATTGGTTTATTTCTGTGGATGATGATTCTCATTCGAAATAGATGCTAAGAAGTTGTGTTGTGGTTACCACTCCCTTACATTGTACATCATACTTTACAGTAATTATTATAAGATTGTGTGATGAGTATGCACACTATGCTAAGGCAGGAAAATCAAAAGTCTCTACCCTTGACGTGATCTGTATGAGACTAGTCATTAGACTTATATATCAATAAGAAATTCAATCCGTATTAACGAAAAACGAAGTCACAGCATTATTATTATGAATATACAGATAGCTTTCCAGAATAACATTTCATCTCAAAACACTTTTTTATCAAGAAGACTATTCAAAAAACTAAAGTATGTCATAAACCTACCCAATGACATCAAATATGATTATTTTAACCAATGGAAAGCTGACTGTCTAATTCATAATAAATTTTAGCGCGTTCTGAATGCAGTTGATTAAATAAGTAAGAAAATTAACATTGTGATTCAGGCTATTATTCTTGAAAAGCGATATACAGTTGTATGTATAAACCATATACAATTGTATGATGACTCATACATAAATATATTCAAACTCAGTCATACTGCTATAGGTTTTTTGTAATCAGTTCATACGCAATTAATACAATTTTTTGTATATCTTGTGTGTCTTGCTTCGTAAATAACAGTGTAATGCGTGCTCTAGAAAGAACTACAATTTTTCATAATTTATTACCCCTGTTCTAAAGAAAGGTTCCAAAACAGTTATAACTAACTATAGACCCATCTCTAAATTGTGTATTGTGTCTAAGGTGATGGAAAAAATTGTTTATACCTAAGTTTATTCGGCATTGAAAAACTCATTTAGTCATTACTCAACATGGCTTCCTTTGAAAAGGCCTACAGTATCAAATCTAGTTTTGTTAAATGAATACGTCTCATTGTCTATGGACAAAGGATACAAAGTAGATGCCATCTATACTGATTACAGTAAAGCATTTGATAGAATTGATCATGTTATCCTTTGGACTAAACTTTCCAAAATTGGTATATGGGGTGATCTATTACGGTGGTTCTCTTCGTATATTAATAATAGATCTCAAGAGGTAGTCGTTAATAATTATATATCCAGTTGGGTTACAATACCTAGCAGTGTGCCACAAAGTTCATTATTAGGGCCGCTGCTTTTAATTATTTTTGTTAACGATATTGGTGATTGCTTTCGCTTCTCTAATCTGCTGAGCTTCGCAGATAATATGAAAATATATGCCAAGATTTCTTCAGTTGATGAAGCTACTGCTCTCCAATCCGATTTATCTCGTCTTGACGATTACTGTGTTAGCAATAAGCTAGACCTTAAACCCTCTAAATGTTTCTCAAAGACTTTTTCGCGTAAATTTAATACTATACGTACCTCGTATAGCTTGAGAAACATTGATCTTCAACATAAGATAGTCATGAACGATCTGGGGATCATTCATGATTCTAAGCTAATTTTTGTTACTCATATAGATGCTATTGTTTCCCAAGCTATTAAGTCACTTGGATTCATAATACGGAATTCAGTCAGTTTCTCAAGACCTAAAACTCTCTGGATACTGTATTGTGCGTATGTCCGTAAATTGGAATATGCCTCCCAAATTTGGAATCCTTGTTATCAAATTTATGTAGACAGAGTTGAACTAGTCCAGGAAGAAATTATGAAAATCTTATGCAATAAAATGGGCAAGTCTTTTAATTTAATCGAATATCCACGTCTTTGTAAGGATCAACACATATTGCCTCTTATTACTCGCCGAAGTATTGCTGATTTAGTGTATTTGTTAAACATCAGAAACGGTGATGTCGACTGTCCCGAATTACTGAGTAGTATTGTGTTTAATATACCTACGCGTTCCATGAGATACTACCGTCATGTTGCAGTTCCGCCGCCGCTGCACAGTGGGCTGATTTCGAAAAGTGTGGACTTAAGGCTTGAAATTGTTAGGATCGGATTCTACTAGTCAATATGATAATTTTATGTTCTGGAACTTTTTTCGTATCTTCATCTATACCAATATTATAAAGAGGTAAATTTTTGTAAATTTGAATATTTGTATTTCTGGAACTACTCAACCGATTCAGAAAATTCTTTCATTAATAGAAAGTTACAGCATCCCCGAGTGATATAGGCTGTTGTAATAGGATTACTATTGGAATCTTTATACGGGGCGCAACTAGTAGTTATAGTTTTTGAGTAATAACACTTTAAAAAATGTTTGTAGAAATATTTAAGATTTGACATAATTTATTTTAATTTCGATATTATGCGGTACATTCTCGACACGAGAAAAGATAGCACACATAAAATTAATGCCAATCAAAAAGATAATAACATTATTAATATCAAGACGCAGCAGTCTCATCACCCTAAAATGTCACTTGTTTTGCTAAAAACACACGTGTAAACAATGGGGAGCTTATCATAAACACGAACAAAAGATCAAGGTTGTTAAGAAATATGCTTATCTTTGACAATTGTGGTCAAGTTAGAATAATAGCAGGTAGTAATTAGGTCAGTTTTTCCCATTCGAGTAAATTTCTCTCAGAACGTGATTACATTTCGTAAGAAACGCACTACTTATTTTCAAATAATACCCTTTTCTTGGAAGTTTTATAAAAATGGTTGGTGAATTGGTGACTAACCTAGACTTATTTGTAAAACTAAAAAAAAGTGGCAATATTAAAAATGCTGCGGCATTATTTGATATTATAAAAATTAGTTTAAACAAAAATTTAAGCGAAGACAATATCAAAAAGTTGAAAGCGTTTTGTGCAACATGTTGTTCTAATCTTCACAGAAATTGGCTCAGTGCTAATAGAAGAGAAGAAGATTGTATAAAGAAATATAGTAAATGGTTGGATGCAGATGTATTATGGCCCGATTATGTTAGGAGTGCTTCAGAACAAAGCAACGAACCATCTACGACCACGCCTATTACATCAGCACAATTTGCAACATCATCAAAAATAAGCGGTGGAACCTATACTGAGTTGAGTCCAAGAAAACCTTTCTGTGATTTAGGGCCTAAACAAAAAAAGAGTCGCGCTGAGAATATTGATAACACAATACCTTATGATGAGATATCGTACGTACATTCCATGAAATGAAAAGCTGATGGTCATGGTGACATTGCCAAAATCGTTGATTACTTGCTTAAAAATCCACAAGATGTGAAAAAAGTAAAAGAATGTATTAGTAACAAAACTGAAAAACCATTGTTTGATGCAGATGAGGCTTTAGGTTTGTTTGTATCACGAAAACTATCCAAGTGGCAGTATAATACATTGAGAAAAAGTGTTGCAGAAAAAGGTGTGCATATATTTCCTTCCTACTTTAAACTCCAAAAAGCAAAACAGTCGTGCTATCCACCTAAAGAGGAGATTACACTAACAGAGACCACTGCTCAAATAAAATTGCAAGCGCTCTTAGATTTGACAGCAAGCAGATTATTAAAAGCTATACCGTTAAATGACGATTGTAAACAAATGAAACTAATAAGTAAATGGGATTTTGACGGTGCCTCGAATCAAGTTACATATAAGCAAACAATAGAATCAGAAACGGAAGATAATGGAGATGATTCCAGCGTATTTATGGGAAGTTTAGTGCCCATCAAGTTAGTTTCTGGAGAATCAACGATTTGGGAAAACGACTCGCCAAATTCAACACATGTGTCGCCCACTATTTTTTAGATTCTTTAAAGAGAATAAAGCAACCGTAATACAGCAAAAGACATCAGAAGAGTCTGAAATTGACCAACTGCAGACTACAAAAGTAGAAGATATTGAAATTACTCATTCCTTACTGCTTACTATGATAGACGGTAAAGCCACAGCAATTTTAAGTGAAACATCAATCCAACGATGTTATATGTAGGTATATGTAAAGCGTCTCCCAAAGAAATCAATGAGTTAGATCTTACATCATCAAAAAATATAGATACCGAGTTATATAAATATGGCCTATCCTCATTGCATATGTGGATACGTATGAAGGAGTGTATTCTTCACATAGCGTATAGATTAGATTTGAAAACGTGGGTTGTGAAAGGTGAACAAAAAGCCGCTCTGGAAACTAGAAAAAAAATTATTCAGGACGCCTTTAAAGTTCAAATGGGTTTATTGGTTGATGTTGTTAAACAAGGTCATGGTACAACGAATGATGGAAATACGGCAAGACGATTTTTCTCAAACTATAAAACATCAGCTTCATTCGTCATTACAGGTGTTGATGAAAATTTTATTAAAAGGTTTGCCACAATTTTGCAAGTCATTTCTTCGGGACAAACAATAAATATAACAAAATTTAAAGAATATGCTGAAGTAACTATGAAGTCAATATCGACAGATGTCGATATTGACAAAACCTTAGGTAGACTTGCTGATATTTGAAATGCAATAGTTGAAAGAAATTGTTAAAAGCGTTTGCTATTTGGGTATTGTCTGTCAGTCGTCATCATCGTCTGTCGTCATCTTTTAAACTCGATATGTTTCTGTCAAATTTTTGTTCTGCTTGGTTTGTTAATTTATTATTTAGTGCTTTGTTAATCCTATTTAAAGTTTGGAACTTCTTAGCATGATAATATAATACTTTTTCTATTTCTAGGGAAGTTTTATTTTTAATAATAATATACAACAAAAGAATTTAAAAAGTCAATGTATATCACTATAAATATACTGAGGATGAAACTATGACAAATGCGCCCTACTTCTTTACACCATGGGTGTGTAATAGATTTTTTTTTTAATTTATAACAATTTCAACCCAAACCGTTATATTAGAAAACTCGCACTGAACCGCAAGTGCAGATATAGATTTTATGGTAACTCAAGACTCCAACTATATGGATCAATACATTATTTTTTGAAAAAATTTGAGATTTCAGAGATATACCCCAATTTCACTTTTTCTCCATACAAAAAAAGTTTCAGAGCCATATAACTATAAAATTACTGTGTCAATCGAAAATATTCACATGACAGTTTATGATTGTATTGGTGAGTAAAATCAATATCCATCATCATATTTATAAAAGGAGTTGTTTAATTTTCAAGTACCCCTAAGTCCACTAGCGATCATTTTCAGCCCACTGTGCGCTGGCGAGGACTAAATATAAGTTTTTTCCCACAATTTGCAAAAACATCAATTTTAGTTTATTTTAATTAAATATAGGGGTAAGCGGTTAAATAACACATAAGCATTAAAGTAAGAAGTCGTCCTGGAAGACTGGATTTAGTAAATATTGCTTAAATAATTTTTATTTCAAAAATATTCACTTGATCCCTAGACACTTTTGATGTGTGTACTTCTTGTTACATTATTGTTTAAACTATTACATACATACATAATTATGGATCGAGTTACGGACATACCTATTTAATCATTTATGAAAATATTATATGTTTCATATATTGATGAAACAATGTGAATGAGTCATTGACTTACAATTATATGGACGTCGGGTCCGCCCTAAAAAGTGTCCGAACTTATAGGGCGTTACAATCGTATACAGAGCGTCATTCACGCTTTAGTCTTCGTTTGTTCCACTGACAGCGAAGCAAGCAAAATTAGACAGTACTGCGATGACATTACAATTTAAATTCAACGTTTTAGCTTTTTCATATTCCTTTACATGTCACTATATACGTTTAAATAGGTTGACTTGGGACATTTTTTTCGTGGTTTTTGTATTAGACCCGTCATCCATTTATTTGTAAGTCAATGGAATGAGTCATAATTATGGGAGTAGTATTTTATGCCTAATGTTTTATTAAGATGATGCCTCTATGGCTCAGTGATTTACCAGTTTGGGTAAAACATAAGGCAGTTTCCAGTTGTATAATTGAGGAAATTTTTCTACATTAACTGGGGTTTGTGTGTTTTGGGTAGTGCTGGAGAATTTTTACTCATTATTCACACAGGCAATGTTATTCCTATCATCACGTAAACGCCCAGTGTACATTTTATTGAAAATATCACATTCAAAGAACAATGGCGTACTCCCATATAATTTTTTTGTTGAATAGTTTTTATAATAATATGTCTGTTTATGAAAAATGTGTGAAAATATAGTTTAGAATTTAAACTTCTATTTGTGAATTACTACTGATTTAAAGTTGCGTGTGATGTTGTGAATTTAATTATATTTAATTTTAGTTTATGTTTTTGTGCGCGTGTTTTATATATGTGCTTGTCCCCAAGCTGAAAATCAATGCTGTGTATGAGCATATGCTCTACATAGTGTGCGGAGCTCCCCTGCTACACAGTAATTGCAATTGTTAGGGTTGTAAATTGTAATTGTTGTAATTTTTATGTCATTGAAATAAGTTTCGTTTAACATTTTGTGTAGTGACTAAAAATAATAATAATAATAATAATAATAATAAAAAGACATTTATTTATATATAAATGATTTAATTCCTGAACAAATTTGGTTTTCCGTTTACTATTCTGAGAGGTCTGGAATTAAAGATATTCCAGTTCTATGTTTTGGAGGTATATTTTACATAATTGAATAAAATATATTCTAATATATATTCGGTGTATTATATATCAAAATAAACTCCAGAAGCCTTAAACGGAGTTAATAGAAGCTGAATAGTGCCGTAGGTTTGAGACATGACGAAAGTTCAGAGGAAATTGTTTTTTTATAATGGTATAGTCAAAAAGCATACACATTGAGCCATGACAAATGAAAAATACCAAGGAATTTATGTGCCACCTTACCGTGGTAACTCGATCACAGTTAATTTTTTTGTGAAACTTGCTATCTATCCGTGTTAACGGGAAGGTTTTTGTCAGTTTTACTTAATATATTTTTTTAATACAGTAGTTGATTTCTTGTTGCAAATCGGTCAAATTATACATTTGATATTACGTTTACTAACTTAATGTAAACCTATGTAAACCAATATATACGTATGTACTGAAAATCTTTTTTTGGCTGCTAGATGTCGTTCAACGTTAAGAAACTGACGGTTGTAGATATTAGTCCGGTTACATACTAATTAGTCAATTAAGTTTCTTTTAAATATGATTTTATTTCCTGGCTTAGATAGGCCATTAGCATAATTTGAAAAACGTAATGAATTTATTTTATTCACACTTGTAATTATGGCATTTAAAGACGCTAAAGAATTCGTTTTTACAATGATTTCGCCATTATTCTTTAGCGCTAGAAAGTTTAAATCGACCCCTCACACGTAAAGTATCGTATCTCAAAATTGCCAAGTTTACAGGGGAGCCTTTTAAGGTTCTGAATTCACTGAAATAAGCATAACACGTGACTTCTCACTTTTATTAGGCAAATCTCGTTACTCACATAGAGTATTATGAAATCCTAGATATCGCTTAGATGATCTATTAGATGATCACAACACTTTGCCGAATGAAACGGAGAACTTTAAAACACTCCCCTGTAAACTTGGCAATTTCGACATACGATACTGTACGTAGGAGGAGTCGAAATGAACATAGGGTATCTTGAACAATACGTTTTTCATACGAAACTGACGGCGTACTTGCTGGGGTCTGAAGCATGTACATATATTTAATGCATTTTAATATACTATACTATACTATATAATAATCGTAAGAGGCTATAATCTGGTACATTGATTATTATATGTATTGCAGGTAGCCTTCGTGAGACCTTGGTCAGCCTGTCCGTGTTGATAGCCAGTGTGGTGTCCTTGAATGAATTCTTGCTGGTAGACATCATCCACAGGGACCCGGCTAGCATAGCTGAGACAGTGGTAAGTTCTACTTACAACTTACAGCATATTTTATATCTATACCTCCTACGTAAGCTATTGTAAGCCATAAAATAGCATTTTTTACTTTTTAACTAAAAAACTTATCCATTTTTATGTATACATATTATGGGTTTCATGTAATCTACATAATTCACACTTTTACATACTTTTAAATATGCAATTTATAAAATACATGAAAAAAGGATATATTATATTATTATCTTTAAGTCAAAAAGCTAAAAAATTGCTATTTTGTAGCTTACATCAACTTACGTGTGAGGTAACGATATATTATGGACATGACTGTACCACATACAAAAGGAAATTAATTACCTCCACTAGCTGTAGTCCTGATACACGTGTATCGCGAATGGACAAAGATATAAGAAACATACTATGATTTGATTTATGTATATGTACAAATAATAGATTTCAAGGAAACTGGAAAATGACAAACCAAGTGTCGGGAAGTCATTATAACATTTACGCAAATATGACATCTGTACACGTGATTGATTATGAGACTACATCATTGTGTTACATAATATTTAATCAATTATATATTATAATTACTATCAAATCATAATGACATTATTCAGAGCGCATGTCTGTTAACCTTTTACTACTACAAGCATAATATTATTAGTATGGGTATAGTTGTACGTGTTGATACCATGAATTGACTTTATTTAAATTGCCTGATAGCAAGTCAGAATTGTGTAACAGTCACAAAACAATTTTTTATGATACCGAGTGACGGGACGAACAAGTCGTGCGACTGGTGGTAAACGACACGCCTGTTCAATAGCAGTTACAGTACCACTCAGAGCTACAAATAGCAAAGATCTGACGGACACTGTCACTGCGCCCATCACCCTAAGACAAGTTGACAAGTCCCATGTTCTTATAGTTTCACCAGCACTCTTACGGTACCAAACGCAATAACGCACACATTACTGCTTGGCGGCAGAAATAGATAAGGTGACAGTGGACGAACAAACAGCTCTGCTCTCACTGAATACATGAAATAATAAATGAAAGAGGGGTTAAGAGTGCATAACAGGTAAGTTACACGGGGGATCGCTTTACCTAATTAGCTACCACGGAGCAAATAGGATTTATGTTTGCTGGTACTGCAGTCTAATATAAATAATAATTCTATTATTACGTAAACGAGGTCAGTATAGTAACTAACAACTAGGCGTTCTAGAATGCATTATACATACTGGTTCCTTAAATAGAATATAATCATTTAAATCTTGTTGTCACAATATTGCCATTTATAATACAACGTGAAATTAAAATATGGTACCAATGATCAACATTTAAGGGAAGTGTGTCTTTGAAAGAAATAACTTTTATCTTTTTAAATTGATTAGTTTACTTGATAGATTGTAATCCTGAGGAAAGATTATGCTGTAGTATGTTTCATATAAAAGCTATTATAATTATTACTAAAAAAAACCTGAACTAGACTTTTTCTAAATCTCCAATAATGAACACCCAGTAACTGACATTTACCAATAAGAAACGTGTTGCTATGATAGAAAATGTTGTCCTAAATCTTATTATTCTACATACTCTTTTATTTATGTTATATTGCAAGTCAAATAAACTTTTTTATTTTATTTTATAAGAAATGAATGTAAATAATCTCTGTACAGAGTACTAACAAACCGACCTCAAAAGTCATTCCTTCCCTAGTTTGTCACCCTTAGAGGTGGAACATTTTCTTCAAATTTAAACGGACCACAACCGAGGTACTCTCTTTCCAACAAAAAATTAAAATGTTAATAACTAATAAATATAATTAAACACAAATATTGTCGAAATACAACGACATCAAATAAAAATAAAATTATAATTTCTTATCGAGTTCTTAGGTTTTCGCTATAGTTACACATAGGAAATGAAACTATTTTTCCGGATTCGAATTTGGAACCGTGACCATGGGACCTTTAAAGGGCCCGAAACGTCGGTTTGTTTGATAAAACAAATATACGCGATTTATAATCCGGAAATATAGTTTCATTTCCTATTATAATTTCTTCCTCAGAAATTCCTCTAAACTGCAAAATTCGTTATCCAATAAAAGGAGTTTGGTCGGGTATAATACATTTCGTCTTTATCTTTTTCGATTTGCGGATCGTCGGTTCATAAAATCGGTGACCTATTACTGCAAATTTCTCGTTGCAAGTTCGGTACAATGGGTAACGAATAATTGCTTTGGCAAAATATGAACCCATATTATAATTAAGGAAGTTCACCAAATGCGTATATAGAATTTAAGCTTATTTTTAAGGATTGATTTGGAAGTTGTAGGATTTTAGTATTTGGTTTGACTTTGATCGTGCATGAACGTGGATCATGTTTATCGACACAAACGGTGTTATCGCCATATTTAATAGCACACGCGTTCCCTGTATCTTATCAAATATTACATTTCCTTGTAACAAAAAGCTGTAAATTAATTATATCTCATTATTAATTTTGGACTACAAATGATTTTTTATGTGTATTCGACGTTTAATTGTTGCTGTTTTTTTTTTGTACTCGTATTTGTAAATCTGCTCTAGGTACTCGCGTTTTTTTTACACCAAATAACGGGACACGCAACAAGCCTATTCATAACACTTGCAGTGCCACTCAGAGCTTTAAACCGCCAAGGTCCTAGGGGCACTGCCACTGCGCCCGTCACCCTGAGACATAAGTCGACAAGTTCCATGAGCTCGTAATTTCACCAGCACCCGTGCCCTTCAAAACCTGAACGCAATAATGCTCACATCACTACTTGGAGGCCAAAATAGTTAAAGAGGCAGTACTTCCCCGTACAAACTCATTCACAATGAGCTCTACTGTTACTTCATATTCAGAAATGCTGTTTCATGGTCAAATTTTTATTTACAGAAATGGAAGAAACTCTCTCTGGTAAACTTCTCAAGCAACAACATTCGTAATGTCGATTGGGGGATCAAATTGGTCCCTAAACTCCAACATTTGAGTTTTTCGTCGAACAAGCTCACTGAACTCTGTGATATATCGTGCCTTCACGAGCTTCGAGTGCTCAACCTGTCAATGAACAATTTCTCGGTGTGCGACAACTGGCACGCTAAAATTGGCAACATCGTTAAAATTGATTTGTCGCAGAACAAAGTCGAATCTCTTCAAGGTTTCTCGCGTTTGTACTCTTTAGAGAGCTTGGACCTGAGCTGCAATCTTATACAGGACGTGGAAGAAGTCCAGCACATATGCAACTTACCGTGCTTGGAATATCTGTGGTTGACAGCGAATCCTGTGGCGTCATCAATAGATTATAGGGTTAAAGTTATAGAGCAGTTTAACGCACGGATGGCGGAAATCTGTCTAGACAACGAGAAAGCTTCTGAGAAGGAACTGGACACAGCGAGGGTGCTTCAAGCGCTGAGGGTGGTCAAGGAAGGCAGGAAGCCTAGCTTCCTTCAAGATAGTAGTACGAGTCATACCTTTAATAAAAGTTGACAAGAGGACAGTTTGCTACAAACTGTCTTCGTTCTTATAGTCCAATGTTATACGTGCTTTAAACACGACGTTGTATTTCAAAATTACGGTTTTCCTGTTTTGTATTATGGCCAGGGATTAAGCCGACATATATGCTGAGCCTGCTTCTCTAAAATAATTTCACGACTGTTTTTCGTGCGCAGCAATGGACATCAAGTTGTGTGGCAGCAATGTTTATGACCCTTCCTATATCCTATGTTGTGGCGTTCTGTATTCTGCGTCAGGCTTTATATAGGTGACATTTGCTTGTCGTAAGAATAAACTATATTGTAGGTAGTGTTGCCAGGTCTACTGTTTTTCCAGTAGATCTACTGTTTTTTGGACGACATCTACTGTTCTACTGTTTTTTAGCGAAATTCTACTGTTTTTAGGAACTTTATGTTTTTTGGAATGAAAGTGTAGAGCACATTAAATAAAAAAAATGTTGTAAACTGTTCTTATTGGATAAAATAGGTACTTTATGCACTCCACTGGATTATGTTTTTTAGCTGGTACATAAACGTATCTACTAAAAATCTTTTACGTGCAAGCATTTAGCATTAACGTGATCTCAACTGTGACTGTCTGAAGATATTGAACATTTGTCGATGTTTTTGCAAAACTTTACAATGTGGTCGAATCATAGGACATCGTCCTTTTATTTTTTGTGGTATTTCGGCATATTTGTCAATCACAGGTCTAGAAAATGCGGGGATGTAACATCTAGGGTATCCAAATACAAATTTTATTGTGAGATATCAACATCGATCGATCGAAAATCGATTAAAAGTGTTTCAAACACCGTAAGTTCAGCATCTACTGTTTTTTTCCTCAATCTACTGTGTTTTCTGTGCAATATCTTCCGATTTTTTCAGATTTGACCTGGCAACACTGATTGTAGGTCCCGTCAACCGTCAAAAGTAGTGATGTCATCGATTTACGCCATAGGTTCCCAAATTTTTTTGGCTCACTTAGGCAAAAAATAAAATTTTTGCACCTACGATCACAAAAAATAATTGAAAACGCGTATTTTTTATGTTACCTTAACACAAAAAAACGCAAGGAAAAAAATTATATATGTGCTATAATTATATTCCGCTTCTAGATCTGTTCAGCGTCCACTGGGCGATAGGAACCACTTTGGGAAACTATGATTTTAGCCGTTCTCTAATTTACGAATTCGATAAAAATGCTTATAAAAAGACATAAAAATAATTTATATAACCGTTATGTTCACACGGCGCACATATACGCATAAGTAAGAAAACGTCGCTTTTGAATATTAGCTTTGTACAGTCAAAAGCACATGAAGCTTGACATTTTGGACTATTCTATTGCAAACCACTTAGAGTTGGATTGAAATCTTAAGTGTCAAACTTTTCACGTGCACTAGGCCTTCGACAAACAACAACAGGTTAAATTTAATAATAGTAAATTTTGGACACCTTGTATACATATAGCTATGGCCCAGTGTATATGTAATTTTTCGTAAGTTTATGTCTGATCACGATTTGCTCAAGTGCGAAGTATTGCTCACTGTGTCAAATTCTCTCCGTTGCGACTGTTTTTAGCCAGGCTGGAAGTTAGGCTAATATAGATTTTAAAATTTTGAAATAATGCATAATTGTTTAAGAATTTACCCACTTAACAGTCACCGGTTACATTAAATGTTGAACTCGTGAAAGCGTAATCGGTTATGGCAACTAAAGTTGCCAAATATCGGGTTTGTCCACTCTAGCTCGTACCTCTGTCCACAAGGGATACCTCCGGCTACTAAGTGGATAAAACGTAGCTCATTTGAAAATTGACGTCTAATAATAATTACGAGAGTTATAAGTATGTTGGCTTTAATATTTTTATTCATTGACATGTATTAAGGTACCCACAGACTTGTTCGAGTTTTTGACTATCGACACGTGTCGATCTACAAAAAATTCGATGTTGATTGTCTGCTTCTTACACTTACTCGATTTTGTCTGATCACGTATTATTCAACAAAAATACGATGACGATATTCTGCTTTTTACACGTTTACTCGATTTTGTTCGATCACACGTGTTGACCGACAAAATATACGATGTCGAACGTCTTTTTCTTATTCATATACCCGATTTTGAATGATCACATGTGTTGATCGACAAAAACTACTATATCTATTGTATGTTGCTTATAATTTTACTCGTTTTGTTCGATTAAACGTGTCTATCGTCAAAAAATCGAGCCAATCTGTGGTCACTTTTAGGTGTTTCCCACTTGCCCCGTAGAATTTATTGATGTTTATTCCACTTTACCTAATAAGAACAACAGTGGTGTGTGTATTCTTCTAAAATAGAAATCATAAATAATTAATAAAATTTTTCAAGTTACCAACGTAAAATAGCAAAGGTGATAACACATTGTAGTTTATAGAAACATTCAGTAGCATGGGACAAGTGAGCACTCCTATTATTCAACATCAGTTGAATAGTTAGACATATTGGAATTAAACCGTTGATTTAGTAAATACGTAAGATTATATTTATTGTGTATTATATGTATAATTTTGCTAAGCATATTTAGTTTTACGTCGTTTGTTATGCCCGATTGTGAATGTTCAGAATCCTACTTTGTGACCAATAAATAATTGTCGCCCCAAATAAATGCTTGATTCGACTTTGCGACACTGCAAGGTTAATAACGTAAGTAGTCTAGCGCAGTGTTTCCTAAACATTGTTCTGCCATGGCCCGGTAATTTTGCATACTGCTTCTTCATAACCCACTCAATACTTTTCAAACCCGAGCTGGCTACATTAAGTACAGTAATACACATTTATTTTTAGTAAAACTGTTTTACTAATATTATTTCGGTATTCGGTAGTGCGAAGTATGGAGCTGCTGCTTATTTTTTACTAAAGAATCCTAGTTTGCGGAAAATGACGAAAGTTTTATCTTGAGGCAGGTTCCACTTCAACAAGACGGGAATGTTGCGACCTGGTATTTTATTTTGATGGCCAGGTACCGGGTCGCGATGGGAAACGCTGGTCTAGCCAATAGAACAATTCAACTTATTATTTTAAGTCCAGTACCACACTAACCGAATTAAGCCGGGCAGAAAAAGCTTTACGTGACGTTGTTTGTTTCGCGTCGGCAGTCCTAGCGGAAGCGGAACGCGCAACGTCTTTCACTCTTAACCCATGTACATAAAGCTACTTCTGATCGGCTCAAGCCGATCGCGCTAAGTTTGGTGACTCCCTAAGAAAACGAACGTTTTCATTTAAGTTTTGAGCAGTTTTAAGTCGATGCTCATAGACAACTTTCTAAACATAGACGTTATATAATTGCATGACAAAATTCATTTATCAATGTTATAAATTCTAAAAATTTTACGAAATAGAGAATGTGTCGTTTTCTTACTAATGAAAATAAATGTGTTGAAACTATAATACATTTAGTTGCTATTTATTGCCTGGAATTAAGCAATCGAGGTTTCTACTTTCTCCGGTCAGTTTCTACTGTAAAGTAGGATTCTATGTTATACCATGAAATAGGCGAAATCGCCTATTTGGTATTTACACTTATGGACATATTTATATGAACGCTAAAAAAAGGTACACTCAAATTTCGAACATCTGTGAAAAACAAAACATTTTCATTCGACCTCTATTATAATATCAGTCGAGATGAAGTTTTATTCGAAATGAAATGTCAATAGAAAAAAATGTTGGCAAATTTCACACGTTACTTGAAATCGAATAATATGATAGTTGGAGCCGACTCTAGTTTGGCTATGAATTAAATAAAAGCTACGGTTGTGTGACATGCGTGACAAAAGTTTTTACCAGTCGCCAGTCGTAACATTCGGTTCCTGAACACATCGTAGAGAGCTGTGTTTAGATAAAGCAGTGTATGTAACTGTACATAATTAGGAATTAAAACACTCGTGTGATGTTTTTATTCCCTTAAACCCACACTCGTATTTTAACACCTTTCGGTTCCTCCAAATATGTCCATGAGTAATAAATATTTCGATAATAAATATATCCACCAAAAATTTGAGCTCCGATTTTCTATATAATAGAATTCTTGTTATTTATATACTTATAATGTGATATTGGATGGTGTTTATAATTTAGTAAGTAAGAATATTAATTATATGAGAAACATGTAACTTTTATGTAAAATAATTTTTAAAGTCCGACCAATATACTACGGAATTGGCAATGTTATAACTTAACACGTTTGACATACTAAAATATTGTTAAATTTAGTTTAATTGTGAATATAATATATTGTTTTGCTTCAATGCAAATTCGTAACTTTAGTTTTATAGCTGTTGGTATTATCACTCAAAAGTATTACTTATTTTCGTAATTAATTAAATGGATTTATAATGTATTTTGAATTGTTTACAAGTATTAAATAATTATATTTTATTTTGAAACTATTTTTCATTCCAAAACCAACACGCTTGCAGCGCATTTGATAATTGAGTACATCATCATCATCAACCCATTTATACGTCCCACTGCCGGGCACCGGTCTATTGGGTTGAGGGCTTCACACGTTTTCGGAGGATTATGAACCTTCTTCGACGCGCAGGTATCATCACGATGTTATCCATCACCGAAAAGCACATGGAAAATTTCAAATTAAATTAAAATTCACACTTAAATTCCGAAAAACTCAAGGGTGCGAAGCCGGATACGAACGTACGGCCTCTGCTTGCGAGGCGGTAAATGAAACCATTAGGCTCAATTCATATTGCGGCGGAATGGAAGCGAATTATTGCAACGACATTGTACATAGCGTAATTAACTTTATGGTCAATTGCGTTACGTACAAACTAAACACGAGACAAAACTCCTGGCGAATCCACGGGAAGTGGCGTGAGGGCAGGCGCAGTGTGACGTCACACGTTGACGAAATCCTACAGTCCCAAGGCGCGCCTTCTCGCAGCGAGGCGAAATGCAATGTAAATTGAGCCTTAGGTTACCAAGACACGGTAAATGAGTACTAGAAAGTTAATTATGAAAAATCATTAACCCGTTCATGGCCAGTACTTAAATAGCGTCGCACACAAAGACGTCACTACTTTTCTTTGTGCCGTATTGTTTAGATTGATTCAATATAATTCAATTCATATATATTTATTTCAGATAAAAATCCATATAGTGTTATAAAGGAAATAATTTAAGATCTAGTGTTATCATTGACTTACAATTATATGGACGTCGGGTCCGCGCTAAAAAGTGTCCGAACTTATAGGGCGTTAAAATCGTATACAGAGCGCCATTCACGCTTTAGTCTTCGTTTGTTCGACTGACAGCGAAGCAAGCAAAATTAGACAGTACTGCGATGACATTACAATTTAAATTCAACGTTTTAGCTTTTTCATATTCCTTTACATGTCACTACGTTTAAATAGGTTGACTTGGGACATATTTTTCGTGGTTTTTGTATTGGACCCGTCGTCCATTTCTTTGTAAGTCAATGAGTGTTATAATATATATGTTATATAATAATTACGTTTTATCACGACTGATCCCGTCAATATTTTTGTATAAACGAAAGGCTATGACAGTAGCAGGATGGTTGCCGTTATGTCATATTGAATTTGTACTATGTGGTTACATAGTATGACCACCAATTGACGGCCGTTTTTAGTACAAATTCAATATGACATAACGGCAATAATCCTGCTACTGTCATAGCCTTTCTTTTATACAAAAATATTGACGGGATCGGTCGTGATAAAACGTAATTATTATATTGAATCAATCTAAACAATACGGCACTAAGGAAAGTAGTGACATCTTTGTGAAGATTTTTCATAATTAAAAACTTTCGGTTACTCGTTTACCGTGGCTTGGTAGCCTCAATTTATTGATTGGACCGGAAACTTCAATTTCGCCTGTAGGCAGAAGGCGACTGTAGCATGACCATCAGTGTAGCATGGTCATAAAAACATAGGCGTTTTAGAGAAAAAAATTGGTTATAACTTACTTTCACTGTTAAAAAGTTCAATGGCATTGACGTGTATTGTTGTGGACGTTTCATTAGGACTTTATCAGTATGGAGGAGGAGGAAAACATTTGGTAATTGGAACTGTCAAGCCCATAGTTGGTTTTTTGAGATCCATATACCGATACGAGGTACTCCGTACTTATCATATTCTGATATTCA